GTTACAGAACGTGACCGAATTCGCGCGAAGTTACAATCGAAGTGTAAGTAAAAGAATGGAAGCACAAAATAGCTGTCATTAGCACAGTCAAACAAAAGCACGTTAAAACAAACACTGGTACAGTTGGTTATAATAATAATTGTTTTTATTAAACCAGTCGTGTTCTCGTGATAAACGTGAGTCACTACAAACCAAGCGATGTATATAGTCGCTTTTGAATATGAGCATTAACTTTCGAAATAGTAGACAAAGATAAATGATCACTAGAAACATCCGAATTATTGAGATTTAAATTACAAGATTTAGTACAACTTGAAGCAAAATGGACAGTAGCTTTGAATACTGAATGAATGTGTCCTATCTTACCACATTTAAAACATTTAGCATTACGAAATCCACATGAATTACGAGAATGAAACTTTCCACATGATAAACATTTACCAAACTTCATCACACCTTTGTGATTTGCTTTGTAATTTCTTGTTGAAATACTTTTCATATTTACACGAGAATAGGAATCACTGTTAAACGGACGCAAGTTTGATTGACCCTGAGATTGTAGTTCATCATGACGACTAAGCAAAGCATTAGAAATCTTCATCGACTGGATATCAAGTTCATTCACTGCCTCGCAGTTAATATACGCAGTTCTGGCATCTTGAAAGAAACAGTTTGGCATTCTTAACAGTTCTCTTTCCAAACCCGGTATGTTAATCCCTGCAATTAACCGATCTCTCAGTTGCATATGAAGTTGACCACCGAAATTACACTTGGCAGCTTGTTTCTGCAATTCAAGGATGAATTCCCGAACTTTTTGGTCATTTTGACGAACCATCTTGTGAAATTTCGCCCTTTCACGGCATTCAAAACTGGTTCACTTTACATGATTTAGTAATAGCTCCTTAAGAATTGCATGAGGAAGTGAGATAGGTTTTTCTGGATTTGCGAAAGTTTTTAATAAGCTGCACGCTTCTCTCCCAATGAATGTCAGGAAATGTGACACAATTTTATCACCTTTAACATCTTTCTTAGTCATGCTCCAGCTTTCGAACCTTTCCAAATAATCCTCAAAAGCTTCTGAAGTTGAATGAATATCTAACTTTTCCATCGCAGGCTCCATCGCGACGCCAGTACAATATTCGTACGTATTTGAATTATCGTATAAACTAGGAATCCAGAATTAACGCAACTGAATTAAGAAGTAAGACACAAGCACAAACGAATGTATTGTATTTGGAATTTGAAATCAAGCAATCCACAAGTATCAAGGTATAATTAGTTCGTTCAAACACCACATGTGGTTCTGAAGATTAGGGTCCATACTTAATACTTAACTCTCGCTTATACTACTGGATTGAAAGCTTCAGTTTGCCTAATCTTATCTTCAAAGTACATTCTTGAATTACACTTTAATCGTGATGATGAGCTTAGAAGCAATTTTGAACGATTATAACACATACCGAACTGTTAACATTACCCTCTTCAGTTAGATATATAATCCACTAAATCATTATATTACAGGAAATAAATCAGACTTATGTGCGGAAGGTAAGTTTATGTGAAGTTTTCGCCAGAGACTAAGCAAACATAGAGTTACTACATCCTGTGCGGAGTTTCAGTTTTTAGGTCACTGACATTCTTACAAAGATAGTTAATAGGAGAGATAAGAACTATTAAAAAGTGATTCAGTGAAATCATTGAAATGTATGATTTCTTAATTAGAATAACCAAGTTCACTGACATCAGAAAAAAATGGAATAAGACTGATCATCAAAGACAGGTCGCAATTGTTTGAGATAATTTAAATTCAATCAATGTAACTGTATTATCATTGGAATTTGCGAGATTCTACAATCAAATATCAGTTTTATGAACACCGGCTTCTTTATGATGCAAGGAGTCACAAAGTACATAATGGTCACGGAAACAAGAATTGTATACATGAAAATACTATAGTGTCGGTTGACATGTTAAGCCCATGTATCTTATTCTAGCTTTCGAACAGGCCAATCTACTCATCCTAGTTGAGTAACGTTATGACCTAGTTAATTATTCGTTTATCAACGTTGACTGTTTTTATATGGGCGTATGCGTATGTACACTTCTTATCCTCTCCATCACATGTCTGTGACCTATTTTGGTGTGACTATAGATATTGACTAACACTTGACTAAATGGAGTTGGCCTACCCGCCACATCCACAGCGCGTCGTTTCTCTTCGCTTCTCCACTATTTCGTCTGAACCAAAGATTGCATGGAATATGTGTTCGAAATTCATTCTCGTATTTGACTTATGTAATCCCGTTATTGACTAACGCGATTTAAGTCGATGATTATATACGAGGATAGGCGACATATTTCGACAACAATCATTCAATAACAATCATTCACACGATCTACTTGGAGTCAGATTCTGGACCACTAAAATACATCTGTCCAGTTTAATGTAAATGTTCACTGTACTAATTTACTAAGCGTTTATTTATCTTTTCAGCGGACTCTTGAGAATTTCATGGAGTTATTTATTTTTATTAATCAATCAAAAACAAGTGTCATGTCTGCACAAAACGTGATGAGATATCCATAGTCGGCGCACTAAACAGGATGTTTGTATTCAACTTGGTGTAAATAATTATCAATACAATGTGATAAAAATTACATCTATTCTAGTAGTTTTTTGCGTAACTAAGGGATGGGATGTTCAGCGGTGGGACTACTTGCGAAAATTCACATACATACTGTAACATGAGTGTCTCATGATCACTATTGTTCAGTAAAGAAACAGATGGCATATATTTTTTATATGTTTTAATGATCATAGGCATAAGTAATAAATGTATGAGTCCTACCAGTTTTTTAGCGAGGAAGAATTATTCCAAACTGGTTACACCAAGAAAGAGCTGTTAGTTTGAGAATAGCGAACTACTAAGGGCGGATAATAGATAGAGCCTCTGGTCTTTGACAAAAGATTAAAGTAGAAATTGTGAATCAGTGCCTTTTACAATAATAAAGCTAACTGATGTCAAACACCCAGGCATACTCGCGTATCGCGAAACAAAAGCTTAAAAAAGTCAGCCTTGTGACGATAAGAATTAACTGCTGTGTGATTTCTAAACAGAACAATAGTACGGAATTTGACTTAGTAGTTTAATACACCAAGTTCAGTATGTAGTATTCGGTATGCGGTCTAGATGACTAATCGCAGGTGCGCCAACCTGTTAATCGTTACACATCAACGCAAACCAAGATCCTTATGTTTCACAACCACACAAGACTGCTAAGTGCACACCCTCTGCCGTAAGGCTGTGAGAGCAATGGATTCTGACAATGTGGCTCCCTAATTGCCACCGACTGAACTCACAGCTTGTTTGCATATATCATCCGATGCTTTGAGGTATGAACGGGTATATTTACTGACCAGAGGTTCATTATGAACATGGACTGTGTGGTAGTTATTTGTGAACTTCTCAAGCAGATACTCACTCTCTGTGGAACTTGACATGTCGCCTAACACACGAAAAGCCACTACCATTATGTAGTTCCTTGTCCTCTGGCTGCTATATCGAAATAAATCTATGATGCTTATAGAAACAGAAAAAACACAATTACCTTCACGAATTAGATCTTTAGAAATAGTGGCCTTGGAACCTGAAAATAAAGGGACGTTTAAATGCATTTCTTACTTCAAGCTTTGGAAAACGTTGAAGATCCTTTATAGCGTCATATGGACGTAAAAGTACGTCAATGTCTGTCTTACTCCAGATTTTCCAGAACATCAACAGAAGAAAATCGCCTTTTCTGAGACATTTTTTAAGTGTTTGTGAGCACTTTACACAGTATTGTGTTGTTGCTCAGGCTAATTTACTGAGCCTACCTCGCGGATGAAAAAACGTGACTAAATGTTCAAGGTCCTAAATGGTATCGGCAGGAAGCAGATCTTGACTACTTTACTGCGCAAATCAATGTGGGAGAAACAAGTCCCAATCCTGAGACCCACTAATTGAAACCCGGACATTTCTTTTACCACTAATCTATGATTCCTATAAGTCTGTTTAATATGAACGTATTGCAACAGTTTTCGGAAAACCGCACCATTGGGGTGAGATAGAAGTGATCTAGAGATTAAAAATGGCAGCACAATCTATTCAACGATTGATAACCCTCGTCCCTAAAAGTGTTTACGATCGGTAAATTAATTGAGCAGCATGAGATGACCTTGAAAACAAATCAACAAATCTGACCAAGTTCGTTTAAATTTTAATGTTATTGCGTTCTATTCATGTCAGAGATAAAGTCAAGCGTATGTTGTATTGTATCGACAATAGTTATGACATTTCGACATTTTCCACTTTGTATTTATTTATTATTGTAAACACATGAATATAGGTAAAAAAGGCACCAAATAGATCTGCGTAACACAAATCATTCGATTTATGTGAGGGTTGGGATGCCCAAACTAAAGCAGGTGGTTTTCTTAAGGGGCCACACCCCGAGCATTTGACCTAAACGTCTAATCAACAAGGCAGGGGAGCACCGTCAGGAGATGTAGTCCAATGGTGGCCGGTGATCAACAATTGGTTCATATGCCATTATTTCCTTCAGGATCCTGGAGCTCATGTGCACGATCGGTTTGAAATCAGAGTTATCCAACTCCCCTAGGTGGATCCTCCATATTCACCAATCTGCTTAAAGCGCCGGACATTCACTTTTCGTCCTCGCAATTTCGTAAACAACACCCGTGATGCGAGGGGGCAGTGAGTAGGACTTCCCTGTCAGTGGTTGTATGCACATCGTCATGTGAGAGCATTTGGAGAGGGAGAGCTAACTCTCACCACTCTCGGCCGTATCAGGGCATTCGGGGGCTTTCCACCTGGTAAGTAGGCCATTCCTGATATAGAAATATGTTGTTAATATTGTATCGCAGAAAACACTGTATCACAAACAGTCATCATAAAGTAATAGTACCAATCAATGACAAATAAAGGTTACCCCATGTTTATCAACAAATAGTATGTCCATATCTATTGTTAGTTATATGAAGTAAGAAAATAAATTGTACAAAGTATATAATTATAGTTACCCAAATAATAAGATAATTGAACAATGAATAACATGACATTACATTAGATTTACCTTTGACATTTCTCAAATGCCTTTATATATCCATATAAGAACTTATATTACAAGCATAATGATACTGTTAATAATAATGACAATAAGTTTCTCAAAAAGAAAAGGCAGGAAATGACTCTTTAGAAAAGCAACATTTAGAAATATCACAGTTCTTTTAGATTAGTTGAATTTTGTAATACAAATACACATTATTAGTTCCGTTTGTTTTGCCTCCAGTAGGAGAGAACAAAACTAGCTTCCAGTTGAAGAAGAACTTAAGAAAAGGGCATTGGAAATCATCAAACTATATTACGAGGTAAGTACTAACTTGGAATCTTGAAGAGAAATGAAAAAAGAACGAAGGTCGAAGAACCCATAACGTTGTGAATTAGAAGCGGACGTCGTAATGATAGATAACAACTGGAAAGAACTAGAAAAGATTTTCTAGGACAGATTTAGATAGAGAATATTATTGAGCGGCCTGTTTTCCTCCACAATGGGTAACAGACATAAGTAAGTAAATTTTATTATTGTATAGATTTTTACAAAGTGTAGTTAGTTATACAATGAAATTACAATCATCTTTGAAATGAAATCAAAAAACGAAAACAACCTCTGGACAAATAAACCAATAAAATAAAGATCATAAAATCAATGATTTGAATAGATCTTTCTTTCTAAAATAAAAGTTCACCTGTCTACCATTAAATGTTGTAGTTGGAAGACAAAACTACGTGCCAATTCTAGTAGTGTAACACAGTCATGTTGTTCGGTTAATTCTGAAATGAATGGTGAGAAAAAAGCAACATCATTATCATTAGTCTGTAGGTCATCGTCGAAACAATCTGGTATAAATCTTCATTAGTATCAGGAGTTTTGTGGATAGTCTAGTAATCTTAATAGTTGTTATCATGAGTCAATTGAAGCTAGATCACTATGGAAAATCTGGAAGCACTGGACTGCCTTTTTGTCTTATTGTGGGACTCCTCAGCAGTGCGCATCCACGATCTCACTTCGCGAGATTACAACACTAGATCTATCAGTCTCGCACACGAGCGTTTAACCTCTAGATCACTGAGCCAACATCCAATGGTGTTAATTTCTAACTTCAACTTATCCACGAAATTGAGCGACATGTCCACCATTGTCTTCAGTGGGCTACTATCTCACAACAGATACGGTTGAACTCCACTGGTCACTGCTTCTCACTAGAACTCCAGAAATGCCTCTTGAAGCCAGTCACTATCGAGCATATGCTGATTATAATCAGAGAAGGGGTTTCGTGGATATTATAGTAATTTTAATAGATGAGATCATGAATGTACGTACATTAACCAAAGTTGCCATATCATATCAGAAGGAGGAAATAAATCTAGCAAGATAAATGTCAAATGAATGTAGTAGCAAAGGTAATGAAAAGGACAGAAAATTGAAAATTTGGTTAGAGTAGGAGGAATGAAAAGATCTACAATACTATGACATATTCCCAACCATTTTACCCATATACTCCAATCACTGATAAAGGTTATCACATGAATCCCAACCAAGTAGTTTGGGTCCACCAACTTGGTTCAGAACAGTGATCATCGAATTAACGGAGTGATGTTATATTTTAGTTTGACTGCCCTAGCTTTTTTCTGAATTGCCATACTAGCTCACATTGTCTGTCAAGGTAGTCAGTCGTTTATCATAGGTGATACAAATTTCAATCACTTCAGTCGATGAGGATTTACAACCTTATCAACTAACGGCGATGCTATAATATATGGACGAGCCGACCAGACTCAGGACGACAGGTTTCGGATTTTGGCGCGAAATTCATTCATCCAATTGTATAAATAGCGTTCTGGCTTTTTAGCTGATGTCAGTACGTGATGAAAACCTTAAATCTAATTCCTAACCTTAACCATCAACTGTAAATCATAATCCTTACTCTTCATACTGCTTTATAACCATCATTTAGCCCTAGTAAGTAGGTAGATATTCCCAAGGTCACTTCAGTGTCGCTCAAAGGTCGTCCATAAATTATAGTCTCACCCAACTAACTTGTAATCTTTGCCTGTTGCCCTATGCTTAATCTTAGTTCATTCCTCTGGCTACTTTTTGTGTCTCGCATTGCACTACTTGGTAATAATCAGTAGTTTGAGTATGTGCAATCATTTAAACGGTGTCAACTTCGCTATTTTCAATATTCGTTGATATTTTTCGATGAAATCGTTTTCTGACTTACAGGCACTCTATCTATTTGACCGTATTTTGTCAATATGACTGGAGTTTAGAAGCCTTACAGTTCGAAGTTTCGAAAGCAAAAGTGTTGACTTTTGTTCCATCTTATAGTTCCATACATGTAGAGAGATCGGAATTTTCAAAAATCTTGTCTGTGCATCAGTAACACATGTGTTTGACGGTGGATAATCCAAAGCCTTCTCCATTATAAGTTATAGTTACATAATATACCCTTGTGGGCCGGGATAATTCTACATTGGTTTTCAGGAGAACCAGACACCATCCAGACTTTCACGTGACAAACCGAGCAATACACCTCAATCCCGATTAACAGGAGAGCCAGACACCACCCAGGCTTAAATTTTATAACCCGAGCAGTACAGATCGATCCCGCCTCACAGGAGAACCAGATATCATACAGGCTTTAACGCTACAATCTGAATAGTACAGCTCAATCCCGTGGCGCAGCCACACAGGTACCAAGCACCCTGGTGGATCATTCGCACCATTCATATATACATTCAAGTCACATGTATAGTTATTCCGATCAATGATCGCGTGAATCAATAATGCACACCACAAACAGGCTAAAATTGACCTATTCCGCTTACACGATAGTCAAACTTGTTATTGTTAGCAATGTCGACATGCCTTACAATGTCCTAATTACAATGGTCTTTAAGAACACTGGAAAGCAACCACCAGTATGAATGGAATCGATTAGCCAGCAAACTAATTTTATGCATGAACAGTCAGCAAAACTTGCCAAGGTAATGCCGAACCATCCACAATACCAATGGCGAACATCCAGCCTCATATGGGACCTTCCACATAGCTATATAGCTCATACTGCATACAACACATATGTAGGGTAGTAAAAGAAATAGCCCAGCCTGAAGCGTTAGGGCTTAAATAACGCTTAAAAACCATTGTCTGGCATCGGAATACTATTACTAGACCACCAAGATTATTTTTATAGCATTTTCGAAATTTTCATTCTTCAAACTTTTCAGACTCTGAGCTAGGGGTAGTCTCCCTTCCATTATAAGTAAGTCGATTTCATTAAAGTATCATTTTCAAAAGTAATCAGTGCTGTAATACGTTAGTAATAACGAATTCTCTATACTAAATGTATGAAACAGTGAGTTTCTGAATGATTTCTAAACTTCCACAATCTTTGACATTTAGAGTGAGAAAGCGGAAACTGTAATCTCAAAGGTAGTATTCACAGAACTACAAATGACTTTCAAACTAGGGAAAAAACAAGTTCAAGAATATCATAATTTGTTGACCTCTGCATTTTTCCAAGATGCTACCAAATATAACTTCTTTAAGAAAAGTAACATTGAACCTTTGCATGGGATTTCAGAAAATTTGTTAGATGTTTTCTAAACCTCTTGTGACAACATCCAACAATTTAAGGAACATAATGTAATGGAACGAGAACACCAATGGAGACAATCAACTGTACTTCAATACAACAATACAGAATATCTTGGTAAAATCTGAGGACTATACAATAGATACTTCATTCGGAAAATACCAATCAGTAGTTTCAGACTTCATTGTTCCTTCACTTTCATACCCAACACTCTCTGTTCTCATTCTCTACTCGATTTCTCTCAATATTCTGCCTCCAGTCATTTCACTTTCGATTTCTGATACACAACTCCGCCTGAAGCCCCTCTGGGGCTACTACCAGTCCCAAGCCCGGATAAATGAGGAAGGTTGGGTATGGGGTTAGCGACCCCATCTCGTAGAAAACTAACTCGCTAAAAAAATGCTAACCAGAAGAAAATATTCAAATCATCCAAACTCTGCCCTGGCAGTTAGGAGGTCTTCATTTAGATGAGTTATGATGGCTCATGGCGAAAGCCGAGTTCCTTTAGAAGTTACAAGGCTGATGCCCCTTCTAACAACCAAAGCAACCATTAATTTAGATACATAGAATGCTTGTACAATATGGAAGACCGGGAGAGTCATCCAAATTGCTTCAGAAATGAGGAGATACAACCAGGAGATGCTTGGAATCAGTGAAACACATTGAACGTAGGCGTAAGTAAGTAATCGTTGATACATATACTACTTATATATCTGTCAATATCAGTAGCATACACTATCATAATATCATAAAATCGAATTGATTCATTCAATGAAAATTATGAACTTACCATTATAAAATCGAATAATTTCTGTTATATCCATATTATAATAAATTAAAATATCACGATAATATTCAAGTAATGCCAATGCAAAAAATATACCAAAATCATATGTAACTATACGACGTGATGCCCATATTGTTTCCCATACAGGGAAGATATCATCATATTGTAATTCTAATAATAATAATAATAATACAAAAAGACAATAAGTAAATAAAGATTATCAGAAGGGGTTTTGTGGAGATTTTTAGTCATTTCAATAGTTGAAATCATGAGTCAATTGATGTTAGACCGCTAGGGAAAACCTGGAAGCACTGGATGGCTGTTTCATCCTAGTATGGGACTCCTCAGAAGTGCACATCAATGATCCCGCCCCCGCCACGCTAGTTTCGAACGCAGGACCTATCAATCCCGCGCGCGAGCGCTTAACCATTAAACCACCGAGCCGGCATCCAACGGTGTTAATAGACAAAACTGACTGTGATTTAAGAAACAGAAAGCATATAGATATATACGTAAATACAGACAAATATCAAGTATTCATTATCTTCAGTACGTACTGTTTTAAATTGTGGCCTGAGTGCTCTGTTAATGTATAACATAATGATATCGCCAATTAGAGAGCAGTGAATTAACGATCGGACCAATGACGCATAAAACAAGCACGAGCAGTCTAGAGTCTTTATTGATCCTACTTTCCGCCTAGCTCAGTCACTAAAGTCCAGAACACCAATCACAGCCTCTACGATCTGAATCATTATATTTCAAACATACTGGGTTTATATACTAACCAAACAGACTACATCGTACCAATAAAATGGGAAGTAGCATTTAGCCAAATGTGGCTGTGAATGTGGGAGATTGTAATTAATAGACAGGGCATAGTTCAAGAATGGTAAATCCTATAATAATAGTTCATAGATCAAAATAAAGCTCATGAGAAGAGGGACATGAATATGAATAGTTTAGTTATTCAACAATTATGGGATAAAAATATACGTATAATAATGATCCATAAATGGATCCCAAAAGTTACCATTCATTATCCTTATCGGGATATAACACCTACCTCGTTTAAAGTCTAATAATAGCCAACGATATGAAAACAATAACTGTCCTTCTGGTACTTTTTGAGCTAAATGATTATTCATTTCTGGATCAAAGATCTAAAAATAAAGTGAACAGTATAATTCATTAGTAAAAAGAACAAAGTCAATGTATCATTAATGAAAGTAAATATAACTCACTGGAATAGTTGATCAGTTTTATCTATCAATTCCTATTTTATGGCCAATTACATTTACATTTCACTGTCCACTAGTAGACTCAAATATATTAAGATATAGAATATTCAGAGATGAGAGATTGTTGTCTTTAACTAGTGATAGAGAGATTAGTCAATCAGTCAGTCAGTCAGTCAGTCATTAACAACGTTTAACTTCGTACGTATGTATATTAGTACGAGTTGCCATACCACATCAACACACAAATACGATTATCCATTCAAATCCCGTAGTGATAGAGGTAGTCAAAGTATAAACAGTAATCGGAAAGATTAGAGTTTGAAGACGTTATTCAAGTAGTATAATCCAATGAAATAAATTTGGAAAAAGAAAAAAAGAGACAATGAGAATTCAGGCGACTAGAATTCTGAAGAATACAAAGTGCAGATGCACCTGAGCCATTGCATACGACTTTGAGCCATATCATTCAAGGTCTCTAACCATCGGTTGCTATCATCTTGTGGATCCAAACCAGGAAGTCTTCACTTACCAACATGGCTCAGTCTACTTGTTATTGACTTCGTAGATTTGTGACATGTTTTAGTCTGGCCGCCTCTAGTTTTCTTCCTACACCAGAAAACATCGCGCGTCGGTGCATTCGATGGTTAGGCATACGTAACACGTGTCCCAGCCATCTCAACTGATGTAGTTTCACTACTTCATCAATCGATTTGCCATCCTTACCTAGTACCCGTATCTTAACAACTGCATTACTTACTCAGTGGTCCCAGGATATACGAGCAATGTTTCGAAGACACCTATGATCAATACTAGTAGCCTACGGATATCCTCTACTCTTACCGGCCATGTTTCACTGCCATAAAGTAGGACGGAACGAACTGCTGCGCAGTAAACACGTCCTTTGGTTGATAGACGGATATCTCGCCTACGCCATAAATGACGCAAGTTGGCAAAAGCTAGTCGAGCCTTCAGTATCCGTGTTGAGATTAAAGAGGTTAATAGAGCATATTCTAATCAATTTATTGGATATAATTGTATTTTAATGAAGGTCTGAGTGAAATATCCTTATAAAATTATTACACTTATTTCCTTCTTTAACAACGATTGAGATCATTTCTAATAGCTTTCTAACTATTTTTACAGTAATACAACCTAAAAATACACTTTTTAAAAACTTTAATGGAACTGATAATAATACCCTGTCGAATCCTCTTAATGCATTCTTCAACATTTCCAGCTATGAACTCCGCCTGGAGTCCCTCCGAGGGCTCCTGACGGTCCCAAGCCCGGATAAATAAGCAGGGTTGGGCATGGTTTTAGCGATCCCATCCTGTAGAAAACTAACTCGCTGAAAAAGCGCTAATCAGAAAATTATGAAAAAGTTACTAGAAGCAAAATATTCAGATATAAATCCTCTATGAGAGTAACAACATTCGAATTTCAATGTATAGTTATATTCACATAATTACTAGAGTTCATTATTATCATTATGTTGATAATAGCACAAATTATTGATTTTTGTGTGAATATAAAATCAATAATAATCAGTAAGATTTTTTTTTTAGAACTATTGATACCAGATTCGAGGAATAGAAAGGGGAAAGGTGTGAAATATCCTCATCAATGTGGAGATGAGTGAGAATACTTAATTTAAATTACAGTTACTTTAATATTCAATCAGTCCGTCAGTTAAAATGTAGAACCAAGAACACATATGTATCAGTCCAAGTTGCTATACCTCATTAGCACAACAAGATGAACATCAAATTCATAGAAGTAGTTACTTCAATGGTAGTAATATATAAAAGAAAAACTTGTGTATTATTAGATATAATACAGGAAGAAAGAATTAGTTAATAGAAGGGATGATATAAAGCAATTTTTGATGTTATAGTTTAAAGGAAGACAAACAGTGTATACACCGACATTATTGTAATCGATTCTGAGCCATATCACCCAGAGTCTTCAATATTGATAACTGGTTATATAGCTTTTAAATTGATTAATATGACTAGGTAACAGGTTTGAAGAATATGAAAGTCAATAGATGTAGTATAGACTTTAGTTACAAATTTGTGTATATATCGATTTATGGGTAACATATTGATGTTTGAATCGATAAATACTGGGTTCAATCTGGATAAGAGTTTTTAAGTAATTCACCTTGGAATCATTTCCATTGAAGCAAAAGTACTCACTTCTAAAAACTTATTCATAATACTGAAGTTTTTCATTCTCTTTATAATTAGTTTATGAACACAGTTCAGACAGTCAGTCAGTCAGCTACAACGTAGGACCAGGCACATATGTGCATCGGTCCAGGTTGCCATACCGCATCAGCACAACAAGATGAACACCGGATTCATAGCAGTGGTTAGGTCAAAGGTGGTAATATATAAGAGAAAGATTGCATATAGAGATATAGTACAAGAAGAAAGAATTGGTTCGTAGAAAGAAAGATATGAAGTGATTTTAATCTCGTAGTTTAAGGGAAGACAGGGAGTGTATACACCGTCGCCATTGTGATCGATTCTGAGCCATGTCTCCAAGAGTCTCCAACCATTGGTTACGAAAGTCACGCGGACCCCAACCAAGTAGTCTGCATCTACCAACATGGCTCAGACTAGAAGTTAGTGACTTCAAGCACTGATGCCACGTTTTGGTTTGGCCGCCCCTAACTTTCTTCCAACCATCTCCAATACCGGATAGCATTGCACGTCGTGGTAGTCGGTGTTCAGGCATACGTAACACGTGGCCCAACCATCTCAGTCGATGAAGATTCATAACCTCATCAACTGATTTACCATCATTCCCTATGAACACAGTTGATATTATTATAATTCTGAAGCATGAAAACTTGGATTATAATATATACACATTTGAGTCAAATTCTAAGCTACGAAGAGACTCTAATTTGTGAACGAATCAATCAGAAGCGTTTGAAGGTTTTCAACGTTATGGCATCAATTTCAATATCTGATGTTAATGTACGAATGGTTCGCAACGGATTTTATACAGAACATGATAATTGAGCGGATATAACAAATAAAACGACGAGACTATAATTTATGGACGAACCAATCAAGTATAAGATAGCAGACCTCGGATTTTAACATGAAAGCCTTTCATGCATTTGGTTAAATTGAGTTTTGACATTATAGCTGATGTCAGTTCGTGATGAAAATCCAATATATAATTCCTAACTAAGACAAATTATGACAATTATTGCGAACTGGAGAATAAAAGCACCAGTAACACTGGCTGCACCCAGGTACTACAATATATTCGGATGATTGGAGAGCGTACAGATTCCTACATAGTCTTGGTTATGTGCATCGTATTGTTATCCACGAGTGGCATTTTGTGTACTCAACAACCGGAGTACACACAAACAATATTGAAGCTATGTGGTCGAGGTTGAAAGAGTTTTACGACCTTATCATGGCTCCAGCGGTCTACTATTATGCAGCTATATGGATAATTTCCTGTACTCCATGCATTACGATTTTAGAAGCTCTGAACCTCTTTCTAACCTTGATAAGTTTTTGAACCACGTATAAGAAGTGAATCCACTTTATTTCCTTGGTTTTGTATAATATATAGTTTACTCTATACTGACTGTTTGCCGATTAGCTAATATTTCTCAAGTCCACATAAGATTCGTTCAAAGGTCGTCCAAAAATTATAATTTTTATGACGAACTGACATCCACTATAATATCAGAGTGCTACTTAGTCAAATGGATGGATGAATTTCGCGCTAAAATCCAAGATCTATCATCTTTAATCTGATTGGTTTGTCCATAAATTATGATCTAACCATTTTATTGAGTCATTGAGAGTTTTTTCTAAATTTAATGATAATAATACCTGCTTTATTCAATTTAGTAGGTTCAATTACAGTAACCATTGCCTAGCATAAAATATCCTAATAATCCCATCTAATAAGTATTAACCCGTGAATAAGAAACCATTCATATTCATCCGTATATGCGTTATGATCAGGCCCCTAAATGCCCCGGTATGGCCGAGAGTGGTGAGAGTCTGCTCTCTTTCTTGAAATACTCTCACATGGCCACGCGTATATAGCCCCTGCCAGGGAAGTCCTACTCACTGCCTTCAAGTGGCGGAGGTATTGCTTACGAAATTGAGAGGACGAAAAGCGAACGTCCAGCTCTCTAACCGGGTTGGTGGATATGGAGAGTCCACCTAAGGGAGTTGGAAAACCCTGGGCTCCAGCATCCTGAGGGAACAAATGGCGTACGAACCAATCGTTGGTCATCGACTACCATGGGACTGCATCTCCTTACGATGTTCCACTGCCTTGTGGACCAAACCCTAAGGTCGAAGGCTTCGGGTGTCGCCCCCTAATGAAACCACCACCACACATATCAAGTGAGATTTGTGTGGCGCATATGTATTTGGTTCCTCCTAGTACCAATATCTATGTGTTAAAATAAATAAATAAATAAATACGATCAGTCTTGTACGAATGGCATATGCTTCCAATGCCAAATATATTTGGATGCTTGTATGACTCCCATGGTAATCGCTAGTCGTTTCTTCAAAGAAAAGGCGAGAAGAGGAATATATGCGAAATACCGTGATGATATTTTTTAAAAGTATCTCAGTAATTAGATTCGCAATAAGTTGTAAACATTTTATAAAAGCGCTTAACTGTATGCAGCTAGCAGACAGAATTAGTTGATTAAAACCAACTCAAAATTCATGGTAATAGATTGATATTTGAAATATTGACGGCAAAGATATTCCAGCAGGATACTAATCAATTACATATATGTCGGTATAGGTTTACGCAGATTGTTGAACTTTGTTCAGATCATGAACTGATCAAAATTAGACAAATATCGAAAAAACTTGAAGCATTGAACCACCTTTATATTCTAATATAGGATTCCATAGAGGTCTATATCAATGATCTCACCACAAAAGGAAACGGAACCCAGGACTTTCAGTCTCCATCCACCGACTCTGAACTATTAAATTATTAAGAGACTATTGAATGGTGTATAAGTTTTCACTATTGCATAACCATTTGTTAAGTCTATCGAAGCGTCCAAATCACCCGATTGAGATACGCGCAAAACCGAAGTTTCCAAAACAATAGCGGTTCTTTATTAGATAATACAAAAAATTTAGTTACTAACCTCAACTTGTGAGGTGTCTAGGGCGTTTAAACCTGTCCTTCAAGTATGAAATAAAAAGGCTTCCTGTAAGAGTAACATAAAGGGTGATTATAACATACGATAGTACAAAGGACAGCTAATAGCTGTGTCTAAATTTGTTAACACTTTATGAACAATCGAAACCCGAACCAAGAGCAAAACAATATGGAAACTGTTGTGTTTAAACAAATGCACAAAACTATGTGAAACCGCTACAGCGGTTAAGGTACAGTGATTATAATGATAAATACAATGATAAGTACAATAAACGTTATAAGTATACGTGGACATTTGAGAATATTACACTATAACTTGCATCACAACATAAGTTTGAAAATTGTTGTGAATACAACTGCTTACTGAATGAAAATAAGTAGTATAAAACAATATACAAAAGAGTGGAAAGGGAGCGAGTAGGAACAATGTAAGACAAACTGAACACCTTCTTTGATTATCTTCGATGGGTGTCCTTCAGGAGATTACTCTTGAAGCTAATCATTAGCAAGGCCTAAAAATTTAATTATTGTTACCGCTTAGAAAGTTGAAGATATACACTAGGACGTAAAAAAGTCTATCCAGTATGAAAATATGATAAATTTATAAAACAATAAAAACAAACGTTTTTTATAATTTATTATACTCACTTCTATTAATGATTGAAGAAAAGAAAATCTTATATCCATACATGGTACTGATAATTCAGAAGAGTTCAATAATAGTTTATCATATGGTGAAATGATTATATTTGTATTTTGATGATGATATGATTGTTCAATTGTTTTATCAGTGATTCTCTCTAACGATGTCGAAGATGATGATGATGATGATGATGATGATGATGCTGCCGACGATGTTGTGGATGATAATGATGGTGTTTCTTTGAGTTTATTTGTACAACGCAATGTATTATTATCATAATGAAGTTGTTTTGAGTGATTATTATTACTACTAGTAATATTATCTATAGTATTATCTTTACTATACATTGTTGTAGTACGACGACGAGCTGCTTTTACAGCCATTTGTAATAAAGTCGTACGTGTAATTGTACAATCATTATTATCATTATTATTGATTGTTTTCTCTATATGATTAGTCGACATTGATGATGACATCGACTTCGACGACCACGATGATGATGATGATGATGATGGCGTTAGTAACAAATGAGTTTCAGATGGTGATAATTTAATTGAATTAGATGATTGAGATAAAGAATTTTTTATAAGTGGAAAGTTAGGTAACATCCATTTCATTAAACAATTAAAACATGCAAATGTTTTAATTTCATCTTCAATAATAATTAAAATGGGCGCTAATAAATCACACATTCCTTGTATATAACCAATATCAAGATGTAACCATACCCATGTTGATATAATATTACGTAATTTAATTAAATTAGAACTTAATTCAGTTGTGTTAGGATGTGAAGATTTGGAACCTTTTTCTAAAAAAAAACAAAAAAAGAAGAGAAGTTCCGTTGAAAGGATCCAGAAAACTCTTCGACAAAAAAAGCCAAAAAGGGCTTTGAAAATACTGACAAGCATCTTATCTAATCAGCATTCAATAGAAGTTTTATCAGAATGGGTTTTGTGGAGATTTTAGAAATTTCACAGATTGAAATCATGAGTCAGTTGAAGCTAGACCACCATTGAAAACCTGGAAGCACTGGACGGCCGTTTCGTCCTAGTATGGGACTCCTCAACACCGTTGGATGCCGGCTCAGTGGTCTAGTGGTTAAGTGCTCGCGCGCGAAGCCAGTAGGTCCTGGGTTCGAGCCCCACGTGGTGCGGGATCGTGGATGCGCACTGTTGAGGAGTCCCATACTAGGACGAAACGGCCTCCAGTGCTTCTAGGTTTCCAATGGTGGTCTAGCTTCAACTGACTCATGATTTCAATCTGTGAAATAGAAGTTTTGCCAGAAACGTCTCGAAGGTGAAAAGTCATATGTTGAGTTTCTGATTGAATGATTATCTGTACTGCTATTATCTTTAGTAGCGTTTCAGAATGTTCCGGAAACCCAAAGACATCTAAAATACTATAAAAAACCTAGATTTTCTATACATAAACAAACCTTTGGAGTAAAGCGTTTTCTCTCATATATATCGCGTTTTTTATCTTGTGTTCAATTTGCTGTATAGATTTAGCCTGGGGGTTACTAGAAGAACTTAGAAACTAAATCTAGTTTTTAATTAGCAAGACTTATCAAGTTCGGAAGAAAGAGTTGGAAAGAAGAAAACATATGACGGTGGTTTTGGAAAATCAAGCGCCTTTTTAATCATTGAATTGGGTGATATCAAATTACTAGTATAGGGGTTGTGGTGATTATTAAGTTTTAAATTGAGATTATGAACCGATATTTTGGGGCTCCTCAGCAGCGCTCATCCACGACCCGCTCGCGGGATTCGAATCCAGAGCCTTTGGTCTCGCGCGCGGACGCTTAACCTACTGGACCACTGAGCCGGCATCCGATGGTGGTAGTGTTCAACATCAACCAATCCACGGAATTGCGCGACCATCTTCCGTTGTACTGAGGTAGATACCTGTCTCTACCCGACATGGATTAGCCCCCACAATAGGACGAAACGGCCGTCCAGTGCTTCCAGGTTTCCAAAGGTGGTCTAACATCAATCGGTCAATGATATCAAATTATTAGAACCTGAAAAGAATTGGTAAATGGTTGTTGAATAAGCTGAAAATAGACGTTGATGATGTACAAGACGGTTTTATTTTATGGAGCTGAAAATTGGAGAACTACCACAACCACCATCAAAAAGGTATAAGTATTTATAAACAATTGTCTACACAAGATACTCAATGTTCACTGAACGGATATCATCAGCTACAGCCTACTGCTGGGAAGAACAAACCAAATTCCGGTTGAAGAGGGAATTAAGAAAAGATGTTGGAAGTGGATAGGATATACATTACAGAAATTACCAAAGAACATAACGAGGCAACCTCTAACTTGGAATCCTTAAGGGGGGACAGAAAAGAGAGAGACCAAAGAAAACACTGCATCGAGAATTGGAAGCGGACATCGAAAGGATGAATAACAAGTGGAAAGAACTGGAAAGGATTGTTCATCACAAAGTTTGATGAAAAATGCTGGTAGGCGGCTTATGTTCCTCCTCTAGGGGTAAAAGGCCTATGTAAGTAAGTAAGTAAGTTGATGATGTAGTTTAAGAAAAAAAACAGATGTTTCATGCTTAAGCCAACGAGCTCCATCGAAACAACACAACAAAACCAAAAGCTTCCCACTTGAATTATCCATCTTCGCTATCAGTTCACATTATACTTGAATATGTGATAAAGTATCAGGTATATAGTTTGATTTATATGTGATTGATAGTGACAATTTTTTGGAATTATGAACTAGAAACCGTCAAGTGTTAATGTTATCCTTGAATAAAGTGTCCAAATAAACCACTGATGTAAATAATCACCACTCAAGGATAGTTTTAGAGAGATCTTAAATCATTAGAGATCAAAATCAGTTATGTAACAACAGGAAATATTCAACACAACGAACAATACGTTTCTTTTAAAAGAATTTCATCATAAAGAATAGTATGAGACCAAAATAATGAAAGCTCTTAAATGCCCTGGTACAGCCTAGGGTGGGGAGAGTCAGCTCTCGCTCTCCATATGCTCTCACATGGCGATAAGTGTACAGCCACCAACAGGGAAGTTCTACTCACTACCTTCTCGTGACATTAATGTTGGTTACGCAATTCAGAGGGAGAAAAGTGAATGTACGGTGCTTTAACAGGGTTGGTGGATATGGATGATCTACCTAGGAGAGTTGGAAAACACTGATTTTAAACCAATGGTACACATGAGCTCCAGTATCCTGAAGGAATAAATGGCATATGAACCAATTATTGGTCACCGACTACCATGGGACTGCAACTTCTGACGTCGATCCACTGCCTTGTGGATCAGACCTTTAGGTCGATGACTCCGGGTGTGGCCCCCTAACATAACCATCTGTTTCGGTTTGGGCACCCGGGCAGTATTACAGCCCACACACAAATCAAGTGACTTGTATGGCTCATATGTATTCGGTGCCTCCTTGTAGATTCATTTCTTTCGAGTTATGACAACTAAAACACGCATCGAGTTAACATGAATAGTTTATAGATGTTGTTTAAGTTTTGTTCTGCATATCATGAATCAACTATAAATTAGACATTCACTCGAAATCACGACCCATTCCACAGGTGACTTAATCTTACTTCGGGAATATTTATAAATGTGCGCTAAAATCCCTGTTAGAAATCGAACTCACGACCTTAAAGTATCGAGGTGAATGTTTTACCTCCAGACAGCTGAGTTAAGAGCCGACAGTTTACTTTTCTAACTTAAGACAATTTGTATATTAGTAGTAAACGACTACTTTTGAGCAAGATGAACCTGGCAATGTTCTAGAAATTAAAATCAATAATCGACGATGATGGTTTACTTTTAGCCAATCTGTTTTGTAATAAGTTTCGTGAAAACATAGAAGGAGTCTAATACAAAGAAATTGTACTAGAAATGAATAATTCAGATCGTTAGCCGACGACGTATATATTTTTTCTGCTTCAAATTTCGATTCATGCTGCTATGTCAATCAACCAATTATAAGCCATTTCAGACCTGTCATATATGTGCATTGACTCAAGTTGTGAGAATACCTCAATACAGAGAGATAACAGAGTAGTAGAAGTAGTGATTGTATTCATGGTAGTATAAAAGATTAAGGATTCCGGAAGAAAATGTTGGTCAAAATAGCTTTACTGAACAATCTATGCTACCAGTAAACTAATTGGTAAGAATCATTAAGTCCTTTTTTGTTTGTAAAAGTTTTGATCGAATTGATAGCGTAATTTTGTAAGATGGTGGTTGAAGGTTATCAATACGAAACTCAATGCCCAGGTCTCGTGCTATTTTACACTCGTCAGCAAGGTGTACCTGTAATCTTGAGAGAACTGATGCTTCCTGACGGATTCGATCTTGTGTCAACCAGCTTTACAGTCAGAGATATTACCACTGAGATTACAGGTACACATTGCTGATGAGTGTCAAATAGCACGAAACCTGGGTTCAGGGCTTCTTGTCAACTACCTCTAACCACCATCTTATTATAACATAGTGTACGCACTGTCGAGTTACCTGGACTACTGGTCATATTGCAACCTGGTCGATAGGATTCAATCTGCACTAAAAAGGATCTGACACACATGACACTGATTATCACCCAGTGATCAATCATTTGAGGGCGTAATTGTGTATATATAATCCTGGTTTCAATGACTTGTTAGTAGGAACATTACTGGTAAATCCTTAAAAAAGGAAAAACTACTATCCAGTGCTCCCTCATTTTAAAATATTCTCTGACATCAGTCAATGATGAACTATAGGATAATCATTGGGAAATGTAGAACTTTTAGGACTATTCTGCGAGTAGTTACTACATATCTTTCTTATTGTGTATACAGTAAATATTAGATTTATGGTATTTTCATATTGTTCTAATCACAAGCTTTCATTTCACTTGGTAACTATCAATATAAGTTTTACCTTTCTGAAATTGTTATTAATTAATGCTCTGTTTTGTAGCACATACACCTTAGATATATATCAATTATGACCAATTATTTATCGTACATTTTTAGTTATGTAATCATTGTATGTAAGTGTTATAATTTCTCTTATTATGTATGACCCAGCTATTCTCATTGCTTAGTATTGTTGAACACTATTTCACTAGATAAGTCCCCAAATTAGAATACGGTTGAACAGGAACAAAATTATATTCCAAGGGTAGATGAAAGCAAGAAACACAATCGGAAAAATGTTAGTATATTTATAGTTTTTACATGAGAAGATTCTAGAGTACTCTTCACGTATCGGCTAACGCTGATTGGATAAGAAATAGCCAATCAGAGCGCAGCAAAACAATCGTGCAAAGAACTTGTTTTAATCCAATCTATATCCCGATAACAATAAGTTTATAAATTTATAAACCTTAATGATAAACAGTTTATCAGATTGTTGTCCTCTACTGATTAGGTATTCAGGATAGAATGAAGTGTATTGTATCAAATAAGAAACTGAATTTCTAGTCACTATGGGAGTTCATTTGTGTTATTAGTTACGAAGATGATACTTTGATTTGAATAGTATCAATAACGTCATAGTTAATGAACTCTATAAATAGGCAACATAAAAGATTGAAAAACATATAAAATGCTAAACAGAAGGTATTTTTTGAAGATTTTAGAAATTTCACTGATTGAAATCATGAGTCAATTGAAGCTAGACCACTATAGAAAAACTGGGAGCACTTGACGACCGTCCCTTCTGATAATAATCATCCGCTCACTAGTGACTGACTTCAAGAGATACTCCTACAGTTCTAGTGAGAAGCCGTGACCAGTGGAGTTCAACCAGGTCAGTTGTGAGATATCAGCTCACTGAAGACAATGGTGTACGATGGCGCAACGTGGTGGATTGGTTGAAGTTAGACATTGACACCGTTGGATGTTGACCGGCTCAATGGTCTAATGGTAAAGCGCCTAGCGCGAAACTGTTAGGTCCTGTGTTTGAATTTCGAGGGGAGCGGGATCATGGGTGTGCACCGCTGAGGAGTCCCATACTAGAACGAAACGGCCGTCCAGTGCTTCCAGGTTCTCCATGGTGGCCTGGCTTCAAATGACTCATGATTTCAATCAGTGGAACATAATTTACACAAACCTACTTATTTTTGATTACAGAATGGCAAAAAAAACAATGTTAAAGATAGATGTAAATAAATCTTACTTGGTGTCATAAAGAATGTATGATTTCGATCACATCTTGTAACATCTTTATCAATTCTATATAAATTATCAGCAAATATTTCTAATGTATTTGGCTAAAATAGTATAAAGAAGATAATAGTTAGGTGGAGAGTGAAGAGGGGGAGACTTTAAAGGCAACAAAGTATTCATAAATATAGCATTATTACTAAATAAGATCATCTAGTTATGTGACGACGGACCACAGATGAACTAAAGGAAGCTGTAAGAGACTCAGAAGGAGCCGAAGATGTTCCATCCAATCACCTTTCGGGAGAATATTCTAGATTTCCTACGTGTAGCTTCCCGATTGGACAATGCTAATAACCCCCTGTATGAGGATTGGAGGACTGTAATGATGATTTCGTCCTTACGAAAAACTACAAATACCTGACAATTTTGTACTATAATTGACACTGTCTGGGAATAGTATTCTTTTCATTAGTCTTCTGTCTTCTTATTGCGACTTGGAAGGGTTTTGGTATTCTGGTGCTCTGTTATACGCGGTGTATCAAGAAATCAACATTCAAGATATAACAAGTTACAATAGAATAGGAACTCAACGACTGAATCACACTTGTAAACATACATTAGTACTTACAAAATACAATTATCTCTGTACTCTGTTAACCTCTTCTGTATAATTCAACATCAGTCAGATCACAGATTATACTAACTATTAAGTAATTGATTAGTCTCTTAATGGCATATGTGAATCTTGTGCGGATCGCCTTGATATTGCCTTAATTCACAAGCTTTATAAACAAAGATGGACAGTGGCTAACAGTGGGATCCAAGACGCACGTTTCGTTCTATTCAGGATTAGTCAGCTGGATGTACCTAGATTCAAGAGTGGACATTCACTTCGGAACTTGAACCCAGTACCGTTCGCTTCAAACACCATCACATTATTCACTTAGTTATTGAGTAAGATGTTTGTAGTTATGCTAAGCGATATCTTACTGTGACATGTAATTTTCACTATACTATATTACATTTCATTGTAAATTAATTTTGTTATACGTTATAGTTTTTCCTCAGGAAGGTTAGCGAATTCCTGTTTTATAGTTGTATCATAATATAAATCCTAATTTTGAGATGATGGAGAAGATTTGTAGCTCAGGTGGGTGATTTTGATGGAGTTTTGCTCTCTAAGCTGGATGGTTTGGTCATGGAGCTTTCATCGTTCTTCTGAACGACATCATCGTTCTTCTAAACGATGAAAGCTCCACGAACAAACCATCCAGCTCAGAAAACAAAACTCCATCATAAATCCTAATGTTTGGATGCCAAAAGTTCGATGCGAACCAAAAGTTCACATTTTCCTCAATGACATTTACAGTTCCTTCACTGAACACTACTTTTCAATGGTATTATGCTTGCAAAAGTCACGGATAAACTATTCATACACATTGAGTCAGAGTGCTGTTATTTTAGTTGTATAAAATTCCACTATTCCAGAGAGATAGTTTTCCTCTTTCTCTTAGTGCGTGCGTTGGGAGGAAATACGGCTAAACTGTTGTGGTTGTGTGGTAGTAGTATAGACTAGACAACCTATATCGACAGACATAAGTAGTATGTAACATCAGTCAGAAGTGGATTACGTGGCCGTAGAAGGTTGAGTAGATCGAATTCAAGAAAACAGAGAGTAACTATAATAATAACATGAATGAAGGACCAATGTATTTTGTAAGAGACCATTGATGGAAGACGTGCAAATGAAGTATGTAATGTATGGATTTCATATTTTGCGAAGACGTTCTATAATTTTGTATTCACCAATAAATTGATCTTTCCCACTTGTATGAGATGGATCAGCAATATCACTGTTAAAAAACACTGGATGCCAACCCAGTGTTTTTAAAGCTTTGGCATTCACTGAGTGACTTGTATGTCCTAGATTCAATCCCTAATGAAGTGTGCACTTCTGAAGAATCACACATATCAACACGAAACAGTCAAAACTACCTAGACCGAAGTCGATCTATGGTGAATACAATCTACATATTAAATCAATCTCTACAAAAACCGTTTCAACTAAACTTTTAATACAATTAAACTAACCGAAAATTCACATTGATCTTGATGTGTATTGTTGATAAACAATTGTGAATCAGTCGAAAGATTTGATAATTTAGAAGTAGATATTTCATTAGGAAGTGTTGCTGTTGAAGAACGATTATCTGAGGAATAGAAAGAAGTGGGAAAGATACTTAATGAATATAATTAAATAACATAATGAAGATAAAGTACATCCATGCTTTTAAAAATGTTTGTACGCCTAAGCTCTAGACCACTGAGATGGCATCCAGTGCTGTTAATGTCTAACTTTAATCGATCCATGATATTGCACAACCATTAACCTATTGTTTGAGGTGGATAACTGTCCCACACTCGACATAGATTAGACTCAATTGATCTCGGTTTCCCATAAGAACTCCAGTCAATCCATCATAAAGGCAGTCACTAGTGAGCACATTATTATTATTATTAAAATAGGATTTTGTGAAAATCGTAGTGATTCCATTAGTTGAATTCATAAGTCGATGTAAGCTACACCACAATTGGTAACCTGGAAGCATTGGACAGCCGAGACCGAAGGTTCTGGGTTCGAGTCTCGCGTGCATAAGATTGATTGTAGTGAATTTGTCGGTTTGTGTGTAACACCTCTTCCAAAGATTTTCAGCAATCTCGTTGTGGTTTCTGATATGCATTTATATTTCTGAGATGTCTCTATTCAAAGTTGATTGAGTTAAGCATTTGCTAGCGTTTTCTGGGCTTCTAGAGACCTTAAAGGAGGATATTTTCTGAACTCCGAAAAAAAAACGATTTAAGATCCCGATCGATATCAAGTATTGAATTCACCAGTTATAATTTTGTCAGTTCCAGGTCTACTATACTCTGTTTATAGCATATCGTTTTGGCCTACACTGTTAATCTTAAGCCAAAGTAAATTAATCACACTTCTATTAATTTATTATTTACAAACAAACATACTGGATCATATCACATAGTAAATAAAGATACACAGTTATGCATAAACAAGCCAAAATTGATTGTGAACTGTTAGGACGGCTTTCGAGAAATACAATGAAGCTTCCAGAGGCTCTAAATGAGCCAACGAGTCCCCATCCAATTAGAACCTGTTGAAGCTTTCTAGAATATCAACGTGGTATGCTATGATTGAATGATAGTATAACAATGCCTCCTTAAGGATTGGCTAAATTATTATGATGTTATAACTAATGTTACTATCTATAAATAATCATGTTTTTCTGTACATTATTGATTCTTACTCAATAATCACCTCTCTTACTTCTTTTGTTTTCTGATTTGTGACTATGAGGTCCGAGTACCATTAGTTGTATATCGTATTCAGACGTAATCGAATAGGGGACATACCATGAATAGAGCAAGTTGTAAATATTTGATTGGGGATAAATATGTTATAATAAACTGCTTAATTGTATTGATAACTAGAATTAATAAGGACAAGTTCCCTATTTGTTTTATGCATCTTTTTATATCCAGATAAGAATAAGGAATGGTAACGTTTGGGATCTAGTTCTGAGGTAATACTATACGTATATTATTATCGTAACTAAACTATTCATATTCATGTCCCTCTTATTATGAGTTTTATTTTCACCTACGAACTGTTATTATACAATTTACCATTCTTGAATTATGTCCAGTTTATTAATTACAGTTCCCCATACTCACGGCCTCTTTTGGATAGATCTTGTACAAATATTGTTTCCTATTTTATGGTAAGATGTCGTCTGTTTGGTTGGTATATAAACCCAGTATGTTTGAAATACATGATTCATATCGTAGAGGCTGAGATTAGTGCTCTGGACTCAACAGGCAGGTAGGGCTAGACAGGAAACTGAACCGATAAGGACTCTAGACTGCTCATATGGGTTTTATGTGTCATTAGTCTGGTCGATAAATCACTGTCCTCTAATTGGCGGTATCATTACGTTATACATTTAGAGTTTACAGGGCAAAAGTTCTAACACATCTTAAGTAAATGATTGATGTTCAAAATATTTAAATATAACTATGAAAATTCCAATGGTTAAGATCATGAATCAGTTGAAGCTAGATTACCATGGAAAACCTGAAAATACTGGACGACCGCTTCGTCCTAGTATGGGACTCTCTAGCAGTGCACGACCACGATCCCGCCTCGAGGGATTCGAACCCAGGGCCTGCTGGTCCCGTGTTCGAGAACTTAACCACTAGACCCCTGAGCCAACACCTAACGGTGTTAATATCCAACTTCAATTAATGCACGAAATTGAGCAACATATCCACCATTGTCATCTGTGAGTTACTATCTCACAACAGACCCGGTTGAACTCCACGGGTCACTACTTCTCACTAGAACTCCAGAATATACCTCTTGAAGCCAGTCACTAGTGAGCATATGCTGATTAATATCAGATGCGCTTTGTGGATATTATAGTATATTATGCTATAATAACTATGAAAACATTACCTTTTGCACAAATGAATACCTACCATGTAAACCATTATCATCATTTACATTATTCTCTAGTTCTACATTGTTTATATCATTCGGTTGTTTTGTTGAGTTCTAAAATATAAAAAAAAGAAGTAGAATAATATTGACTTATTCAAACATTCCGATGAGAATGCTTAACTGCTGTGATTAGACAAGAACTGGTGTTTTCAACGTGATATGGTCGCCGACGAGAATTATGGATGGTAACTATTAGAATCTATTTCTGGACTAATACTATATATATATGCATGCCGGTTGAGTGGTCTGAATAACAACATAAGCAGAAACTTCAATTAGAAATGAGGTAAATTGAATTATATCAATGTATGTGGATAATTGTAGATACATATTAAACTGGAATGATGTTGTGATTTCGTTTAGAGGGAATGTGAAGAAGATTAGAGAAGTTTTAGAAGTTTGGGATTCAAGTCAATCAATAATCAATAGAAATCGACTCAATTTACCAACCAATCAAAATAGTCACGGGTAATATAGGATCAAGAATCAGGTTAAGGAGGGGAGCAATCAAAATAAATATCCAGGTAACAATTGGTCATCAATAAACAGTTAAGACTAAAATCTACAGGATAAGCTATCTGTCATATGTGGAGATGAGAAAAAAACCCATTAAGATTATTCCATCTGAGCTACAAATCTTCTCCATTAACCGAATGAATTCCCATGGTTTTATTAAAGGCTTAGAACGTGTTATAATGTTAAACGGTAAGAAATTCAAACGGAAACATAACAACTGTTTACATTTTTTTCATAGTGGGGCAACGTAAGGAGGTGTAGTCCCATGGTAGGCAGTGACCAATAATTGGTTCATACCACACTCCTGGAGCCCATATACACCATTGGTTTGGAATAAGGGTTTTCCAACTCCCGTCTGTGGATCCGCCGTATCCACCATCCCTGTTAAAGCTCCGGACATGCGCTTTTCCTCCTCTTAATTTCGTAAACAATAGTAATGCCACGAGAAAGCAGTAAGTAAGACTTCCCAGTCGGGGGTTGTATGCACGTGGCCACTTGAGAGCATTTTGAGAGGGATAGATGACTGTATCCACTCTCGGCCGTACCAAGGCATTTTAGGGCAGGTACTAACTATTGACAACTATGTACATAATTACAATTTACATGTATGTGAAATAGAAATTTATCACATTATTGAATATTTGGTGGTGGTGATTGCTTTTTGGAAATAAAATGTATGATGTTTTTTAGTAGAATCCAGGACGTGCATTTCGTCCTATTTAGAGGCTCATCAGTTGAATGTAAAGTAATGAGAAGATTCAAACAACTGATACATGTGAATTGAAATTTATAATATGAAATAAATGTATTACTATTATGTTTACACAGTATTCTACGTTTAACGTCGACATTATTCACCCCATCGTTTTATCATATGAGAATAGAACATCAAACACAAGTGTCATTGATGTCTTTAAACGTTTTGTTGAGCTATATCACGAATGACATGAAGTTTCAACATGATCAAGAGGACTTCAGCACAATGGTCTAAATATCATGTCTCCACCATGAGATTTCGAAATCTTTGAAGTTTGTGAAGATTATAGAGCAGATGATTTGGAGTTTACTACTCTAGCTGTAAAGAAATCCCACTAAGAAATCTATTTTCCCATTTAACTAATAAAATGATCTACGAATAGTAATAGTGGCTTTTTTATTTTTTGTAAATAATAAAAACTAATGATCCTCTAGGAAAACATATGGAACTCAAAACAACTATCAACCAATATCAAAGTCAGAATCTTCAATACGAACATCAAGACAGTTCGAATGTACGGAGCTGAAACTTCGAGAACTACCACAACCATCATCAAAGGTGTACAAGTATTGATAGACAATTGTCTACACAAGATACTCAATATTCAATGAACGGATACCATCAACAACAGCCAACAATGTGGGAGACAACAGACAAGCTCCTAGTTGAAGAAGAAATTACGATAAGATTTCGGAAGTGGATAGGACATACATTTGAGAAATCTTCAAACTACATCACGAAGCAAGCGCTAACTTGAAATCCTAAAGGGAAACGGAGTAGAGGGAGACCAAGGAACACACTGTGTCGATAATTGGAAGCGCATATCGAAGGGATGAATAACCACTGGAAAGAATTAGAAAAGATTGTTTATGACACAGTTGGACGGAGAATGTTGGTGGGCAGCTTGTGCTTCTCCATGAGGGATAACAGGCATAAAGAAGTAAGTAGTAAACACTTACCTTTGGTAATTCATTATTAGAAAGTGATTTTGAATTATCTAAACACTCCTTAAATTCATTTGAATCATTATTAGGTGGAACAATCGCTATAAAATTAGCATATCGAACATCTTGTTTTAAATATTGTACAACACGATTCCATGTATTTAAAGCATTTGTATAAATCTCTTTTTGTTGTATATTGATTGCATTCAATTGTTCACTAGTTGAGTTCCATGTATATAGACCCAATAAATATGGCCATACCTATACATGAAAGGATTACAGGAAGAAAACATTGTATATGAATAAGCTTCTTCATTGATGAATATGAAATTGATGGTTATGGAATGACTTGAAGTTCCTGAGATTGATGAACATGCATGTGATGAACAATAGAACTCCTTTGGGAGAAGAAAAACAGTGTCCACATAACATATGAAAACTATATATATTAACTACTTTATTTGCACATTTCTAATCAGTTTTCTTTCACAAACTTCATTCCTAGTTCACTTGGTATTGTTTGGCTTGTATCTTCCCATTGAGGTTTAAGACTTCAATTGATCAGTCTGTTATCGGCATATGTGCATACTGTGCGTATGCCTCGATATTACCTTAGTTCACAAGCTATTTGTAAGCAATGATGGATAGTGGCTAGCTGTGGAATCTAGGATGCGCATTTCGTCCTATTTGGGACTCGTCAGTTGGATGTACCTGCATCTCAGACAGTTGATGTTCACTCTGGGACTCGAACCCAGTATCATTCGCTTCAAACGCCATCGCGTTATCCACTCAGCTACTGAGTCTTAGTTGTTATTATAATTACTCTCTGTTTACATTCCTGTTTACTTTAATCCAATCTTCTTAATCTTCTGTTGCTTGGCAATCCAATTCTGATTGATGTTACATACTATTTATGTTAACAGACATAAGTAACATACACTACACTTATACTGTTATAAAGTCATAATTAGAATCAATTACTGATCTAATACCATTTCCTTTTCCATATTATTTCGGATGACTTCAATCCATAGTGATTATACATGTATTGAACTGGGAAATCTTAAATATCACTAGAGTATAAATATGATATAATATATGATTCGTATTGAGGAGGCTGAGATTAGCGTTCTGTACTCAAATGTCATATGAGGATAACCAGAGGTCTAATCCTCTTTAACTGACCATTTACTGAATAAATGAATGGGAAAACCCTAGACATTCCACATACCCATCGAACATTGAGAAGCAAATGCAGTACAAATTGATAGATACATGCTCTCTCCATAAAACGTTCTGGGTGAATCTCTAAATAGTCTTCATTAAGCTATAATTTCTTCATGAACTCCTGATTTTAATTATTTGAACTGATTCAATAGAAGAAGAGTGCAAAATAAGTTTCTTTTTAAAACAAAGAATATGATAAGAATATAAATTTATTTGGTTAAGACCATGAATCGATTGATTTTAGACCTCGATCGAAAACCTGGAGCCACTAGACGGCTTATTTGACCTACTGTGCGACTCCTCAGTAGTGAGCACCCACGATCCCATCCGTGGGCTTTGAATCCAAGACCTTCAGTTTCGCGCCTGAACGCTTAACCTCTAGACCACTAATTCGACATCCAACGGTGTTATTATTTAACCTCAACCAATCCAGCTAATTCATGTCGCGTAGAGACAGGTATCTACCGCAGTTAAGCGTTCGTGAGCGAGACCACAATTCCAGGTTCGAATCCTGCTAGCGGGGTCGTGGGTACGCACTACTAAGGAATCCAACAATAGAACGAAATGGCCGTTCAGTTCTTCCAGGGTTTCAATGGTGATCTAACATCAATCGATTAGTGATCTCATATAAAAACTTAACGATCTTCACAACTTCATATTGATAATTAGTAGTATAATTATGATTTACCTCATTTCTAATAGTTGGATCACAATTACCAAAATAAATATAACGACAAAGTTCACTGAATGGGATTTGCTGTATATATAAAGAATAGAACAATATAATATGTACAATATGTGTGAATGTGACTTTTTAAACAAAAATTATAATTTAATTCATTTTTATATTGTTTGTTTAACTTATCCCATCGATGTTTAGGATTGAATTGAATCAGTGTCATATTGACATAAATGCATCGTGTGTGGATTGCTTCAATATTACCAGTAAGCTACAAGCATTATAAACAATGAATAATGGTGGATAGCAGTGGAAACAAGTATGCAGGTTTCGTCCTATTTAGGACTTGTCAACTGCATGTACCTACATTCCAGAGTTCATATTCGCTTCGAGACATGAACCCAGTACTCTTTGCTTCAAACTGTTCAGTCTTATACATCAGAGAAAGAGTACGTATATAGGTAACTATGTGTATATATCTATAACCTTTCGTTTTTATGTTGCTTATCCTAATCTGTTCAATCCGGTTCATCTACTTTTAATTAATGCAGAACTTCAGTAGATAAATCATGCTAAGGTATGCACTGAATTTATCAGTTCAAAAAATTTACTGCGATGGTCAATCAGACCAGTCGATGATAGTTCCAGTTATGCGGTTTATGACAATTGTATTGTTTACGTTGTGGTATTAAAATATTGACAACAGTGTATTGAACGAGAACACCGGTGAGGACAAGCGAATGTATTTAAACACAAAGATTACAAAATCCCTTAATAAAATCTGAGAAGCATACAATGAAATCTTCATCGCTGGGGGCAGGATCGTGGATGGGCACTGCTGAGTAGTCCCATACTAGGACGAAGCGGCCGTCCAGTGCTTCCAGGTTTTCCATGGTGGTCCGGCTTCAATTGACTCATGATTTCATCCAGTGAAATCTTCATTTGCAAAATGTTAGTCAATTGTCTCAGACTATGCTACTCATTCGTTTCTATACCAATCATTCACTGTTCTCGTTCTCTTTCATCTTCTTAACCTTCTGCTGCCAGACATTTCACTTTCAATTAATGATACATACTACTTATATCTATCGACATCAGTAGCACACACCATAACAGTATTACGGTTATACATTTTGACTTAATGATCTAAAGGTAACCAATAAGCTAACCAATCGGATGTTAAAGATTAGTAAATAGTTATGAAACAACTATCCGGATAACTTTGGTTTTGCAATACTTCAACAGTTTACATCATTTTAATTTTAGGTGTTCATAATCAAATTCAGTGGAACAATAAAACATTCTGTTATTTTTCTTTAGTTAGACTGAAAATCATACGTTCTGTTTTCGTGATGAATACGGTGGTCTTGAGTGATGTTTAAACGTATGAGGACGGTTATTACCTCCCGGTTCTTCTAGAGGTATCTGAAAAGAAAATTGGATTAGAATTGGTCTTAGTGACCTGAGAGTATGACCGTAGTACCCAAAGGACAGTTGCATGAGGCCGGTCACACATGACGTTTTTATGGGTCATATTTTTTTGTATTTTCTTGATGAAAGTTAACTAAAGCCATAAATCAATCTTCTGTAAACGATACTGAATACATTCAAGGTTTTGCATAATATATATGTATTTAGAGATTATCACTACTAAGGTAAATAAAAGTATATCGCATGTTTTCCATAATAATCAACCTATAGCACGGTACAGTTATACATTTGTTCAAGTTGCTACACTACGTTAGAAAGCCGATGTGTAAATAATAAAATGATCGTTATGATATTTGAAGTATAAGGTATATCAGCGACAGAAGAAAAAAAGGAGGGAAGGTTACAAAAAGGGGGGGGTATGATCCAGAAAAAGAGAATGAATTCGAGCAATAGTTATCATGAAATATCATTGATCATGATCTAGAGATAGATAAAATCCATACGGGACTATATCCCCGCTATTGACTTTGATTTACGTCACCCAATGTCGCAAAATATCACACTTGAATATCTCATTGACCCTACCTAGTTGAACTTAACTTACCAATACTACTAATATGAACATTTGATGACTTCGTGGACTGATGCCAAGTCTTACTTGGTCAACTCGAGCTTCCTTTTAGTTATATCCAACAGCTCCCCTTCATTGTTAGTCTATTAAATAATGGTCAAGCATACGTATAACATGTCCCAGATTTTGTAATCGATGAAAATTTATTATTACATCAGTCACTTATCAATCTTTACTTACTACTCTAAATGTAATATGGTGTTAGATAAAAGACAACTATGTTTCCTTCAGACAACTAGCATAATAGTGATGCTGCCTTCCCACAAGGAGAGGTAGGTTTAGAAATAATCGATCCTAAAAATGTACATCTCGCTTATCCCATGGATATCCGTCTCCCGCGGTAAGATCTCAACAAGTGCGGAGCTAACACAAAAATTTCTCTCAGAAATGTTGTATGTGACCGACCTCAAGCAGTTGTCCCTTGGAAACTGCGGTCATGCTCTCAGGTCACTAAAACGAAATCTAATTGTTGGGGAAATCCAGAAAACTCCTCGACAAAAAAAAGCCAAAATGGGCTTTGAAAATACTGACAAGCATCTTATCTAATCAGCATTCAATAGAAGTTTTGCTAGAAACATCTAGAAAGTGAAAAGTCACATGTTGTGTTCCTGATTGAATGATTATGTATACTGTTACAATGTTTATTAGCGTTGCCGAATGTTCCGGAAACTCAAGGACATCTAAAATACTATAAAAACCCTAGATTTTCTATACAGGAACGAACTTTTGGAGTAAAGCGTTTCTAGCATTTTGGTGGAGTTTTGTTATCTGAGCTGGATGGTTTGGTCGTGGAGCATTCATCGTTCTTCTGAACGACATCATCAGCACAAACTTCAAATATTTCGCGCTTTTTCTCTTGTATTCAGGTTCTTGTGTAGATGTAGCCTAGTGGTTACTAGAAGAGCTTAGAAATAGAATCTACCGGTCAATTAGAAGACTTATCTATAACATTCTCTATTGAAAGTACTTAAATACATCTTGAACAAGCACTCAAAAGCTGGGAAAACATTAAAAACCTTCTTAGTTTTCCATGGCGGTATAGCTTCAATTGACTCATCATCTCAACTATTGAAATTACTACAATCTACACAAAATCCCTTCTGATACTAATCAACATATGCTCATTGGTGACTGGCTTCAAGAGGTATTTCCTGAAGTTCTAGTGAGAGGCAGTGACCAATGGAGTTCAACTTGGTCTATTGTGAGATAGTAACTCACAGATGACAATGGTGGATATGTTGCTCAATTTCGTGGATTAGTTGAATTTAGACATTAACACTGTTGGATGACGGCTCAAGGATCTAGTGGTTAAGCGCTCGCGCGCTAGACGAATAGGGTCTAAATTCGAATCTCGCGGCGAGCGGGATCGTGAATGCGCACTACTGAGGAGTCCCACAATAGGACGAAACTGCCATCCAGTGCTTCTAGGTTTTCCATGGTGATCTAACTTTAATTGACTCATGGTCTCAACTATTGAAAATCGTTTTTCGAACCAGAGATTTCTAGGAAAAAATATACTACGTCATAGACTGATCGGATTATTACCAATTCAGTTATGAATCTTCGAACGTTTTCACACATAGACCCATAGGTATATTCCTTATCTGTACCTAAGCTAAATTTGAAGGTGTTTACTTTTCATGAATCTTACAATCTATCTTGATTTAGTGGATCAAGTCTAAGAGATCTCTATGGGCTAGGAAGCATTCAATTACCTGAACATATCACTTTCATAACGACGAGAAATTACTTTTCATCATGAAGATTTAAAACTGGATTATTTAAGTTAATTACATCGTATGAAGGTGGAGTTTTCATCAAAAAATTTGAAACTACTCAACAGCATAGTCCGAAAAATTCATGATGGAATTTAAAGATGTAGAAGACTATTCAAACAATACAATAAACGTCCAAATTTACATGATTAGCCGTCATATTCATAATATATAATCTATCATGAACAGACTATATTATCACAGTATCAATGAAGAAGTGATCTCAGTTAGAGCACCATTGGATGCATGAATCACTAGATGGCTGTTTCATTCTAGTATGGAGATCTTCAACAATGCGTAGCCACGATTTCACACGCGGGAATCAAACCCAGAACTTCCAGTCTCGCATATAGACATTTAACCGCTAGAAAACTGAGCTGGCGCCCAAAATTGCTAGTTTCTAACTTCAGCTAGTGTATGATATTGCTCAACCTTCAAAAATTGTCTTCTGTGGATAATTATCACACATTAAACCCCGCTAGTCACAGCTTCTCACCAGAACTCCAAGAGTTACATCTTGAAGCTAGTCGCTAGTGTGCACACGATTATTATTATTGAGTTGTGCGATTTAACAATTTAATGGTGATTATATTGATGAAGTGTAAAATGAAAGGCTTACTGGAATAGAATTTGTCATTAATTGATTCCAAAATTCTACAGTGACACCTTCTTCAGCATTTGTTGGTGAATCAACTGTTAAAAAATTAGGTGATACAAGATCAGCTAACTTTTTACGGACTGTACGTAGTTTATTAAAATGATTGTACCCTGAAAAGGAATACAGCAATTATATAAACAATGAGTCTAATCTAACTTCAATTCATAACCAAAGAGTAGACTTTAAAACCTACAATTTGTATAAAGAGGTGATAAACCAATGTAGGTGAAGAGAGTTTGAATGATGGTTTCTTTTGGCAACACTTTCTTACCAAATTTATTTATTATAACAGATTAACACTTTGATTTGTCAGTATGGGGTCGTGGAGATTATTATGTTTTTGAATGAGATCGTGAATCGATTGATGTTAGATCACCATTTAAAACCTGGAAGCACTGGACGGTTGTTAAGTTCTATTGTGGGACTTCTCAGCAGTGTTCATCCACGATCTCGCTCGTGGGATCCGAACTCAGGAGCTTTGGTCTCGTGCGCAAACGCCTAACCTCTAGACTACTGATCTGGCATCCAGGTAGAGACAGGTACCTACCACAGTACAATGAAAGATGGTCGTGTAATTTAGTGGACTGGTTGAGGTTAGACATTAACACTGTTGGATGCCAGCTCAGTGATCAAGAAATTAAACGTTTGCACGTGAGACCGAAGGTCATAGGCTCGATTTCCTGCGAGCGGAATCGTGCATGTACATTTTGAGTTGTGTTAGATCATTGACTTAACAGTATCATAGTAACAGGCATTAAAATACAAATAAAAACAGGCACTTTCACATCAAGTTTAAAATATTCGTTACGAAAACTATTACAGATGACTGTGGAGTGTGAACCTATAAAACTTCCTTATTAACTCAATTACCGAGTACAGATTAGTGTACATAGTTTCGATCAACACTGTGTGATGTCTATTAATAATATTCAGTTGCTTACACAGAAGTAGGTGGATCAGGGTTCGAATCTGTCACAGTGAATCCCAAAAGCTCTAAGCACTGACCCACTACAACACTGATTCTTTTTACCGTGCGAAAAACATAGTTATCACAATGGGTGTATGCTGTCAGTTATGAAATCAATAGTCAACCCTTTCAACTTCAATTAATCTGCTCTATAGGATGATGTTCATCTAATTTCAATGAACAGGCCAATTTATCCATTCTTCTTGAGTCATGTTTTTACCTCGTTAATTATTCACTTATCAATCTTGACTGTCTTTGCATGAGCGTATATCTGTGTGCACATCTTATCCCATTCATCAGATGCCTGTAGCTTAATTCTGTAAAACTATAAATATTGGTTAAGGCTTGGTTAAATGGAGTTGGATCACATGCCATCTCCACTGCGCGTCATTTCGCTTCACTCTCTTCTCTTCGCTTCTTCCCTGTGATCGTCTGTCCAGATCAATGTGTACAAAATAAACATATTCAAAACATCTCGTAGTGAACATGAACACCGACGGGGTCAATCGAATGTGTTTCACAGGATATTACAAAAGTTGTTAATAAAATCTAACAATCATAAAGTAAATGCTTAATTTGCAACATGTCAACTGGTTCTCTCAAAATGACTCAGACTTCATTGTTCTTGCATTTTGATACAAATCGCATTCTGTTCCCATATTTTACTGTTCAATCCTCTTGTCTCTCTGCTTCCAGACCTTCTGTTGACGACCAACATAATATACTACTTATGTCGATATAAAGTAGCACACATCACAATCCATTCTCGTATTTCACTGATTTTAATTCCGTAATTGACTAACACGATTTAAGTCAATGACTATACGAGAATAAGTGACATGTATATCTCAGTAGTATTCAGAAACAATCAAACTGCAGTCAGATATTGAGTCACTAAAGATTCAGACCGTTGAGTAGGTTACGAACAGAAGTTTAATGTTTTCAATAATAATAAATCACATCAATAGTTGTTAGGAAACGGGTACAAGGAAAGGATAGCAAATCAATTGATGAAGTAGTGAAACTATATCAGTTGAGATGGTTGGGACATGTGTTACGTCTGTCCAATCACCGGCTGCCCCGACGAGCGATGTTTCATGGTGTAGGAGTAGGTTGGAAGTAAGGTTGGGGCGGCCAGACCAAAACATGGCACAAATCCATGAGGTCACTAACAAGTGAACTGAATCATGTTGGTAGGTGTAGACTACCTGGTTGGGGACCGCGAGATGATAGTAACCGATGGTTAGAGACCCTGAATGATATGGCTCATAATCGTTTGCAATGGCGCAGGTACATCTACATTTTGTGTTCTCCCAAATTCTAGTCTCCTGAATTCCCCTTATCTCTTTTTTTCTTTTTCCAAATTTATTTCATTGGATTATAATCATTGAATAATATCTTCAAACTTTAATCTTATCCTTTTAGTACCTCTACCATTACGGGACTTGAATCGACAACTGGATCTCTGTGCTAATGTGGTATGGCAACTTGAAGTAATGTACGTACGTACGAAGTTTTTACGTTGTTACTGACTAACTGACTGACTGACTGACTGACAAGTTTAAATCTGTCAATGAATAAAATAGGAGGAGACTTACATTTATGAAATACATGTGATAATATTTTATTACGTAATTTCTTGAATACATCTTTATGTATAGATAGTTGATTGTTTGACTGTCCAATAATATCATCTGATTCATTGATAGTTTCTTCTGAAATACCATCTAAAGTGAGTCGTTTCGATAATATAGATGATGTATTGATATTATTCATTATTCCCTTAGAATGAAAGAATATCGTTGAAAGAAAAGATTATCTAGTTGAATGAATGAATTGATTTATGTTAGACCATCATTGAAAACTTGGATATACTGAATATACAATCTTTGCACTGTGCCAAACCAATGATGTTTGATCGGTATGAACAACAGCCTAGTGTACTTTTTTAATCCTTTGTTTGATCAACCCGTTCAGTTGAGCTCAGAGAACAACAATCACAGCTTTCAATATATCAATCATTTATTTCAAACATACTTGGTTTATATACAAGCTAAACAGACTGCATCACATCATAAAATAGGATATAAGATTTATACAAGATCAAGTCAAAAAGTGACTGTGAACGTGGGAGACTGTAGTTAGTAAACTGAACATCATTTAGGAACAGTATTCGAATGAAGCTTATAATAAGAGGAATATAGATATACAAAGACTAGTTATTGAATAGTCATGTAATGACAATATATATACACAATAGTAGTCCATTAACAGTTGATGGTAATTCACTTGATGAGGTTTTGAATCTTCATCGACTGAGATGGTTGGCCTACGTGTTGCGTATACCTGAAAACTGATCACCACGACGCCCAATGCTCACTAGTATTAAGGATGGTTGGAAGAAAGTTAGGGGTGGTGAGACCAAAACATGACATCAGTCCTTAAAGTCACTAACTTCTAGTCTGAGACATGTTGGGAGATGTAGAATACTTGGTTAGGGTCTGCATGACTATCACGATCAATAGTTGGAGACTCTGAGTGACATGGCTCAGAATCGATCACAATGACGTTGTGTGTATACACTCTCTGTCTTCCTTTAAACTATGAAATTAAAATCGCTTCATATCTTTCTTTCTACGAAATAATCCTCTCTTCCTGTATTATATCCAATAATACACAATCTCTCTTTTATATATTACTACCATTGAAGTGACTAGTTCTATGAATTCGGTGTTGATCTTGTCGTGCTAATGAGGCATGGCAACTTGGACGAATGCATATATGTGCCTGGTCTTAAGTTGTAGCTGACTGAATGACCATTAACAGTCCACAGAAGTTACCCGTAACTTGATCTTCACAAGGATATAACACCTGGTATAGAACACCTCGTGTGCACTTATCCTGTTCATCATATATCTATAATCTATTCTTATCTGGCTATAAATCTTGATTACCACAGGTCGCTTTGTTTCGTTGCTCTGATTGTCTGTTCAAATCGATGAGTATACAAAGTATACGCATTCAAAACATCCATTCTTGTATTTAGCTTGTTTAATTTCGTTATTTACTAATGCCAGTTAAGTCAATGATTATATACGAGAATAGATGACATGTGTACTTCCATTAGTATTCATATGATTCAAATGAAGTCAGATAAGGGGTCACTAAAATAAGTTTGTCTGTTTTAATTCATTGAGCTTTCATTCTGATAAAATATATCAGGATTGAATTGAATCTAATCAGATTCCAGCTAATGCGGTTCAACATTACAGTTGAAGTCATTGTAACTGAACATTATAGGTTGTATACAAGCTTTCTACTTTTCACTTAGTATTGTGGTCAAATTCTAACGAATATGTTAGTTAAGATCTGACATTGGTTATTATTGGAGTTCAACCGGGTCAGTTGTGAGATAGTAACTCACTGATGACAATGGTGGATATGTTGCTCAATTTCATGGATTAGTTGAAGTTAGACATTAACACCATTGGATGCCGGCTCAGGGGTCTAGTTGGTTAAGTGCCTGGCGTGAGACTGATAGGTCCTGGGTTCGAATCCCGCGAGGCGGAGTCGTGGATGCGCACTGCTGAGGAGTCCCACAATAGGACGAAACGGCCATCCAATGCTTCCAGGCTTTCCATGGTGGTCTAGCTTCAAATGACTCATGATCTTAACTGTTGAAATTACTACAATCTCCACAAAACCCCTTCTAATATTAGGTCTTTATTGTTTAGTATGATTCATTAATGCGATCATTCATTTTTCAAATGATTAAAAGTGTTCACACATAATAAGGAAGTGAGCAAAAGAAATACTATCAAGAATATGAGTGATACTGGAAAAAATTGAATACTAATAAGAGAAAGAATCAATAACAGCGACTATCAAGAAGGCATCCAATTTTTTTATTCGTAATACCCCAGTCATGTTATCTCAAACATCTGTAGTGACTCACATTTATCACGAGAACACGACAGGTTTAATAAAAACAATTATTATTATAACCAACTGTACCAGCGTTTGTTTTAATGTGATTTTGTTTAACTGTGCTAATTATAGCCATTTTGTGCTTCCATTACCTTCCATCATTGTTCCGCGGTTTTTGGTACTGTTCGCACTTACCCCTTTCTCCTGCTTCCGCTTGTACCGTTCCTGGCACGATCTTGGTATTCGTTCGATACTACGAGATCGCCAGCAAATATATCTCGACTTGGTCCATTAACTGCCTTCTGATATTTGGCTTCCCGGGGGATTCTATGGAGTCATTTGGCACGTGTTTCTCTGCAGCAGTGTTCATAGGTAATCTCGACTCGACGCCACGCTACACATCCATTTTATAGAATCTAGTTGATCTAATTATGCATTCAACTTATAGGTTCAATAATAGTGCCATTAACAACCATCTAAACACAATATTTACAACCTACTTACGTTAAGTAATTGACATCTATCTGTGTCAGTGAATACGAGAAAGTTCGAGTACACTTTAACAGGTGAGTCATGTCCAATATCAAAGTGGAAAATCTTTTTTAAACTATTTGAGCTACTTAAAAATTAAATAGTAGTATATAATATTTAAAAAAACTTTGAAGTGTTATAAGCATAGAATCACACATACCATTGCATGACTATCTCTAGTTTTAGATACAATCATATAAACATGTTGAATAGGACATTTTTCCTCTGGTATACAAATAGAAGGTGATGAATATGGTGTTTGTAATTCTTCATCATTATTCATATCATCTGTATGATTAAATGCTTTTAAAATATTCATATAGATACGTTGTCTCAGTTTTGAACTTGTTAATGATAATGATTGATTTAATTTAGAAGGTTTATTATAAAGTGTAGATGGATAGTTTTGAGATGATGTTATGGATGAATTTGTCTTAGTATCATTGTTTGTTATTGATGTTGATAGAGGAGGTGATAATGAATTACGATTACCGAAAATGAATGGCATTGATGGACGATAAGATTTCATGGAATATTCTGATGTGACTAAGAGGTAAATGAAGAAATTATTATTTTGTAACAGAATATATGCACACAAAATGTAATTGATTTGTCTAAAAGTCATTAAATACAAAGTAATTGGGTCGAAGACTTAAACCGTACTCAAAATCAATGTTAAGTTAAGTAACTAAGTAGTATGAATTGCATTCGAAATATACATAAACGTAGACTTAGTTCCACTATCGGACGAAATCCTCTCACTGTCCTACTTATAGCTGATTGTTTGGATATATATCCACTCATGTTAACTCTTCCTTATTGAGACTCAAATTCAAATACATAGCTTCAGATATTATAGCTTTATTTATGTGGCTAGACGAGTTAAGACAACTGCTAACCTTTTTTAATGTGTAAAACAATAGTCGTTTGTCACGAGTTGATGTACTTCATTGTTAGTACTGCTGTAGTGAACAGGACAGCGGTGGGGACAATCGAATATATTTAACACAAAATTACAGGACTTGTTAATAAAATCTAAATGTCCATCAGCTGTCTGATAATGACTCAGACTTCATTGTTCTTGCATTTTCATACAAATTGCATTCTGTTTCCATTCTTTACTGCTCGATCCTCTTATCTCTCAGCTGTCAGACCTTCTGTTCCCGACTAATATCATCTACTACTTATGTCAATATAAGTAGCACACACCACACTGTTAGTTGAAATAATTTCTTTTAATCATCCAGAACATTCAGAAATACATAAATGTCGCAACTCAGTAATATGGACGGAAATCTACTAATATATACTACTTATATATGTTCGCTTAAGTAGCATATACCATAGTATCATGAAGAAGATGGGTTTGTTGAATTCATAATTTCATTCATGACATATTTCAGTAATTTGTAAAACGTTAGACTAAAGCACAAATAGATATTGAGTAGTGATAAACGTTTCATGCTTGCATAGTTCTTTGTGCTGATCGAATTCTATCGATTAAGTTTCGATGAAGCTACCAGTCTAAATGACTCTCGATGTCATACATTATGTTTAAATGTTAAATGGTTTAAAGATTTAAGCCTGAATTACAATTGACTTCATTGAGGAGTATCATTTCCTTCAATACTAAAGGTAAATCATATTGTGTATAGATATCGATGGATATACAACTAAAGTTTGGGGTATTTCTAACCACTGCATCCAAAATATTGTTATCTATATATATACAAAACAAAAAATAATATCTCATTTCACCTGATGTAGATGTATCCAATTCAGAAGATGGATTCAAATAACCACCACGTTGTTTTAAACCTTGTTCTAAACAATTTAAAAATGTAAGAATATGACTTTGAGCATAAAAATGAAATGGAGCTAATTGGATTCCATCATTTCGAATGAATGTTAGTATATATTGATTATCTGTAAAAGAAATAAACTATATAAGCTAAATGGTATATATTTACTTGATACATTAAAGTAAGAAAACATTAAGAAGGCCTAAGTTATAGGCTAAGTTGAAGCTATCATGAGTTCACTTAATCTGCGAACAAGAAACAAGATTCGGTGACCAAAGACCAGTAAATTTGTTGACAGTGGTTTCGGAAACATGGATCCTTCTAAACTTGAATTATTACTGGAGCAGCAGATGAAAATTATTCAAATGTTAGCAGATACAAAGCTTACGTCTAATACTCAATCAAGCAGTTCTAATCCTACTACTACTACTACTACTACTACCGCACCATCAGTTGATGGTATCGCTAACAGTACCTTTGAGTTTCATTACGATCCGGAATCCAATGTCACGTTTGATATGTGGTTTCGAAGTTACAAAGACTTATTCAAATTTAACCAGGATTATGCTTGAAAAGTCCACTTGCTGCTTCGAAAGTTGGGTCCTTGTGAACTAGACAGATATTGTTACTTAATTCTGCCTCTAAACCCACGCGATCTCTCACTCTCGGAAACTGTCCAGTCATTGAGCCAATAATTGGGAGACAACTCCTCACTTGAGATTTAGATGGTGGTTAGAGGTAGTCAACAGGAAACCCTTGACCCGGGTTTCGTGCTACTTGGCACTCGTCAGCAAGGTGTACCTGTAATCTTGAGGGAACCGGTGCTCCCTGGCGGATTCGATCTTGTGTCACCCAGCTTCACAGTCAGAGACGTTACCGATGAGCTATCCGAGCCGTGACTAACCTCCTGTAGGACTGAGATGTAGTCACAATTGATTGATCACTGGGTGGTGATCAATGTCATGCTTGTCTAGTCCTTATTAGTGCAGATCGAATGCTATCGATCACTATTCAATGCGTGCTATCGATGTTTGAAGCTCACTATGAATGAAGATGCTGATTTTCTCACACATGTGGGTATCGTTAACCGAGAATGCGAACGCTTCCAGTTGAAGTCGCTTACTGAAGACTAATTTAAAGCACTCATTTGCAGCCTTCAATCGCAGAAGTTCAGTGACATTAGAACACGTTTGCTAAGTCGATTGGACCAAGACCCAAAACTAACTCTTAATGATATTGTAAACGAATATCAACACCTAATCAATCTACAGCGTGACACTACAATGATCCAGCGTGGTGTTTCAGATCGTACCGAAGTTCATGTAATCCACAAATGGATCCCAAAAATTACCACTCATAATTATTATCGGGGCATAACAATGTAAAAAAGGAGTTGAATATATTACTAATCAATTTCAGTAGTATGTAGGTTGAAACAAGTCGGTTACAGTAGTATTTGACATCACTTTAACGTTTTTCGTTTCAGTTTAGTTAAATTAAATAGACAATATCGATTATACATATTTGTATAAATACGCTTGATTTGTGTGCCTGATTGACCTGGTGTCTTCTGTTTGTCTGTAGAATACATTTTCTACATCTTACCAATACATCTGGATCGAGTTAGCTGAGTCGGGGACAACGGACCAGCATTGCCTATCGAGTCTCTGAATCCTTGATTCTTTGTTCCGCTCCGAGTAAGACGAATCAGTCGTAGCATCCAAGTTAACGAACATAACATGACCCATCCATGATCTCAGTTAAAACTTAACAATTTCCACAACCCTTATACTGATAAGACAATTAATTATGTGATCTGTTTAAACAAATAATTAACTACCATAAAAACCTAGAAGCACTGAGTGGCTGTTTCGTCTTATTGTCGGACATCTCAGCAGTGCGCATTCACGATCTCATCTCGCAGTCGTCTGGTGCTTTCAAGTTTTCTATGGTGATCTAGCTTCAGTTAACTCATAATCATAACTATTAAATAATTAACCAAATAAATAATGAACACACTTACTAAATTCATGTAAATGTCCATAAACAACATCAGACATTTTGATTTTAATTGCATAACCCCAATAAGCTCTAGGTACAAGAAAATGTTATGAAAAAAAATCAATGAGAACTTGAGCGCCTGAAAGTTAGAACCTTCCCAAGTCGTAAATGAAAAGATAGAAGACAAGTGAATAAGAATGCTATTCCAAAACAGTGTCAAATATGGTGACAAAACTCTCAGGTATACATATAGTTTCTAGTTAAACACGAAATTATATTTAACATCACACATGGAGGTTTCAGTATTTGTCCAATAGGGAGGTTACATGTAGATATTTCGGAATATTTTCCAGAAAGATGTTTGGATGCAGCTTCTTAGAGCTTCCTCGAGTTCACATGAGAGACGTTCTCGCATAATATGATTCAGTTAGATTAACACCTTATCACGTAATCAATAGTGTTGCATCGAACGAGAACATAAATGGGAACAATCGAAGGTATTTCAGTACAAAGTTACAAAAATCTTTTAGTATAATCTGATAACCACACAGTAAATAATTCATTTGCAAGATATCAATCAATTATCTCAAGCTTGACTCTTCCCTTTTGTATATATCAGTCAATCATCTCAGACTTCGTTGTTCCTTTGTTTACATATCAATCACTTTCTGTTTTCGTTCTTTTCTCTTCGATCTCCTTAACATTCTGCCATCAGGTATTTCACTTTCGATTGGTGATACATACTACTTATATCTGTCGACATCAGTTACACACACTTAACTATACTTAGCCTTGAATAATGTTATAAAACGGATCTACCGGATGGTTTAACATATTTCACTCTCCCCCTCTCTCTCTCTGGCATACTTTGATAATACGACAATACGATAATGAGATTAGTCACGTTATATCAGATCGTTCATTCACGCACTAGAATTGTGAACCAGAGTATAAACTAGACAATACTTTATTCTACACAATTACAAGCCACCATACTCAGTGATTCCGGAGTAGAAATCAATGAGAGGAAAAATAATAAACTAAGTGCCTATTTGTTCGCGTCCAGTGAGTAGTTATATTTTAGTGTTACTTTATTTTATTGATTTATTTAAACACATAAACATTGGTACAAGGAGGTACCGAATACATATGCGCCACATAAATCGTCCGATATATGTACGGGCTGGAATACTGCCCTTGTGTCCAAACTGAAGTAGACGGTTTTCTTAGAGGGCCGCACACGGAGCCTTTGACCTGAAGGTCTGATCCACAAGGCGGTGGAGCAACGTTAGGAGATACAGTCTCATGGTAGCCGGTGACCAATAATTGATTCGCATGCCATATTTTCCTTCATGATCCTGGAGCCTATGTGCACCATTGGTTTGGAATCAGTCTTTTCCAACACTCCAAGGTGGATCCTCCATATCCACCAAACCGATTCAAGAGCCATACATTTGGTTTTCGTCCTTTCAATTTCGTAAACAACACCCTTGATGCGTGGAGGCAGTGAGTAGGACTTCCCTGATCGTGGTTGTATGCACGTGTCCATCTGTGAGCATTTCGAGTGAAAGAGTTGACTCGCTGCACTCTCGACCGTGCCGTAGTATACACCTATCATAATAACTTTTACCAAACAGTATAAATTATAAATACATTGACTGGTTAAACAAAAGACCGACTAAAATATGATTTAAATTTACTCTTTTTCATTTAAATCATCTAATTCAAGTCTTGAATCCAGTATTGAATCATTAGAGAAACAAAATTCTTCATTATGATTATTCATTTGTGGAGTAGTTACAGCTGAATTAGGTGTCCATTTAAGTACAATCAATTTACCACATTCACCATCGATTAAAGATAAATAACCCGGTATTGGATTTGATGAATTGGACTAAAAAAGAAAATAAAAAAGGTAATAGTTCTATTTCGAGACACATTTTCATATTTAATTTTTGATTGAGATCATAAACCGATTGATGTTAGATCACCAATGGAAACCTGGAAGCACTGGATGACTGTTTCGTCCTATTGTGGGACTCCTCAATAGTGCGCATCCACGATCCCGCTGGCGGGATTAGAACCCAGGGCCATCATTTCCGCGCGCGAACGCTTGACCTAATGGACCACTGAACTGGCATCCAATAGTGTTATTGTTTAACATCAACCAACTCGCGAAATTGCGCGACCATCTTCGTATTTAGCTTGTTACTAGTCATGTAATCTAGAAAAGATATATGTTTTGCCTTTTCTATTTAAAACTGGATATATCTACAGCCTAATATGTATGATTAGGCGAGATTATGGATTTGTGGATGAACTAATCAGGTATAAGATAACAAGTCTCGGATTTTGGAGCAAAATTCGCCCATTCATTTAGCTAAATACCATCTTGGCATTGTAGCTGATGTCAGTTCTTAATGCGAAAACCATAAATCTAATCCCTGTCCCTAACCATCGACTGTAAATCATAATCTTTAACCTTTACATAGGTCCCAATTATCAAGTAAACACTCTCAAGGTCAGCCCAGCTTCGCTCAAAGGTCATCCATAAATTATGGCCTCACCAATGTTTACATCGGGAGTCAAATCCCAGTACTTTACTCTTTCAGTTATGTCAGATATTCGACTAGATTTCATAATTCATACAACTAATGCATTGTTTCTAGGCGTATTTTTCAGTGTTGTATTTTTCCATAGATACATAAAATAATTGAAATGAGAGGTTATTTTGAGGTACACCTCTCACTATGCAAACATACCGATAGAGACTAACATTAACCAATATTTTGAAGCTGATCTACCATTCATGGATTCATTAAATATAACCTTTCTCTTTTGGTTACATAGATATACATCTAAATAGACAAAAGAATAAGTTAATAAAGAGATTGGACCAAAAACTTATGCAGTGCAAAAGTCGTTGGCAATCGATCAATCGATTCAAGCATGAACTCTTCATCCAGTTTCTTATCCTTTCATATCCTTAATATTGAACTATTATCTGACCCATAAATTATTTTCCTACTTACCCCTTGATTAGTACGTTACCTCATTTGTTATTTATTCTCAAATTCATTTTTGTGATGCAATCTTTTCTATCCTCCTAAAGACATCTATTTTCAATAGTTGACACCATGAGTCATTTTAAGCCAGAATACCACGGAAAACCTAGAAGCACTGAACAGCCGTTTTGTTCTAGTATGGTACTCCTCAGAAGTGCGCATCCACGATCCGACCCCCGTGAGATTCGATCCCAGGACCTATCAGTTCATACAACTATATATACGAATGTACAGTATAAGTAAATGATTATATGGTGAGACTAAAATTTATGGATGAACCAATCAGATATAAGATAACAAGTCTCGGATTTTGGCGCGAAATTCCTTTAAGGGACACTAAAGTGACCTTGAGAATGTTCACCGAATGGGGTTTATAAACCAGTATGAGGAATTAGAATTATGATTTACAGTTGATGGTTTGGGTTAAGAATTAGATTTCAGGTTTTCATCACAAACTGATATCAGCTATAATATCAAAATTCTATTTAGCCAAACGAATGAGAGAATTTCGCGCCAAAATCCGTGACCTGTTATCTTATATCTGATTGGTTCGTTCAGATATTATAGTCTTGCCGATTTTATTGAAAAGGAAATTTGCTTCATTGAATTCTTCTTATGTTTATTAAATAGAATATGTGACTAGCTTCAAGATAGAACTTCTGGGGTTCTAGTGAGGTGTCATAATCAGGGGAGTCCCATCCACCTCACACAATGAATAAAGGGTTGCACAAGATCATAGATCGATTGGATTTATACATTAACACCGTTGAATACCAGGTCAATGGTATGGAGTTTAAGAGTTCGTATGTGAGGCTGAAAGTCTTGGGTTTGAGTCCTGCCTGTAAAATCGTGGATGTTCACTGCTTAGGAATCTGATACTAGGACAAATCATCCATCCAGTATTTCCAGGTTTTCAACCGTGATCTGGCTTAGATCGACTCGTGAATTCAATTATGTAAATACCACAATCTCCACAAACCCCCATATTGAAAAATGAGTAAAGTTGGGTTGATAACAGCCAGATTATAGGATAATAGTCTAAAATTAACATACTCACTGAGACACAAGTTTGATTATTCTTTTTAAAGCTATCTGCATATAGAAATACTATGAAGTAGTTCGAGGATTCTAATACTCCTTTTCAAAGGATTTCAATACTTGAATAAACCTGTTATCAACGTTTAATAATTCATTTACTCTTACGAATAAATAGAAGAAAAAGCACTCAGTACAAAATTTACCGGTTGCATTAATACATTATTCTTTCCATATAATAAACGTGTTCGTAAACTTTGATGCATTGATTCCACATGTTCTTTTGCAGCTAAAGCAATATGTTTATTTGACTTAAAGTTACGATTTAATTTAGCTGAATTAAATTCATTCATTTGTGGCAGAAATGCACATGAACCAGTTCTTACTGTTCGACTAGTTGGCATATCACTCTAAATTTTTCCAAAATTATAAAGAAATAAACGAATAAATTATAAGAATTAAATTATACTACTAACTGATTTATTAAGTAGCTCAAATTATTTGTCAAAATTATGTTTATTGAACAGAGGTCACTTAAGATATATAACTTATTCTGTTTCATACTTCACATTATCATTCTGCTTAATGACTAGGATAGTGAGGAATAACATAGATCTTTTACAAGGAATATTAACTGATCAGTCAATATTAATACGTAAAGAAATATATTATAAATTTACTGATGACCGTATAATTTATGATTTCGTTCTTATAATATATTTCCATCAGGATATGAATCATCGCAGATAGTGGCAGCTGTGAACTCTGTTATGGAGGTCTAGTCAACGTTTACGTATTCATAATGGCGGCTTCCATACAAGTAACATGGAAGAAAGCCGGAGTTGGCCATATAGTCTCTTGGGGTCAGTACAGGAAACATTATTAATTGTTGTTGAACTAATGAGTGTTGGTAGGTAAGAAGTTTCCATTTAAGGTTAGTCAAATTAGTGGTTCAAGACTTTTATTAATGGCACAGAATAGATCATAGTAGCGCGATTTTAGAAGCTCTGAACCTCTTTCTAACCTTGATAAGTTTTTGAATCATGTAAAAGCAGTTTACCCACGTTAATCCTATGGTTTTGTATAATATATTGTTACTGTATACTGACTATTTTCTGATTGGCTAATATTTCTCAAGGTCACTTAATATTCACTCAAAGGTCGTCCATAAATTGGAGTCTCGCGGAAATTTAAAATAAATTTTTGATTGGATAAAACGTAACTTCTATTGTTTCTACTAGGTTTGAAGCGGTTACGAGTTCACTTAGACTGAGAACGGAACAAAGACTCGGTGACCAAAAAATAAACAATAAGCTAGCTATTTGATGCGTCCTAGCCCAGCTAACTAGAGGAAGAAGTCCAAAATTGGAATAGGGGAAGTGTATTCCGAAAACAGCCGGAAACGAGTGATAACAAACACAAATCAAAACGTATTTATACAGCACAAAGCTGTCCTTGGGGAGAGTTACAAAATAGCATACTAAAAGACACAACAGACCAATGGCATTACCGATTCTCCCAAGTAGGGAATACGACATGAAGGTGAAAAGAGCGTTTTTGGAGCAAAAACAAAGAAATTCAAATTTTCGAAATAAAATCACAAAATTAGGTCCTTTTCCAAGTGAGTTCTGGGGATCTAACGTCCCCAACAGTTTCTCGATGTTATTTTCATGAAAAATATATTTACATTTATTGTTTCCAGAGGGATGGCCCATGATGAATTTAAGGAAGCTCTAAGAAGCGCAGAAAGATCAGAAGGAACACTCCAGAATCTCGACGTGCAGTTTGCCTATTGGACAAATAACATAAGCCTCTGCATACGAGTTGGATGACTATAATGATGATTTCATTTTTACCAAAAACTATAAATGCCCGAATGTTTTGTGCTATATTTGACAATGTTTGGAATAACAGTCTTTTCACTAGTCTTCTGTCTTCTGATTTAAGACTTGAAAGGTTCAAGCGTTCGAGTGCTGAAGTTGTACGCGATATAACAGTTTAATCTGTAGTATATCCTACTTATAATAAAAGATGTAAGTGGCATGCAACACTAATCAAAAGTGGAATGATCGTGAAAAGAAGATTGAACCGAAGAGAACAGAAAGGATTTAGAACAAAAACAGAATTGGAAGAATCGTGTAGGATGTAAAGGACAAGTGATGGAAGATGTACAAATGATGTATGTATGATTTTGCATTAAATAATAAATTGATTATTCCTCACCAAGTCTTCATTCATTACACATTTATTCAGTTGATGGTATTCATTACCGACTGATCTCATTTAGGTTACTATTGAAAAATTCCAAGACATGAACAACTTCACAAGTTGAGATCATGAGCCAATTGAAGCTAGACCACCATGGGAAACTGGGAAGCACTGGACGGCCGTTTCGTCCTAGTATGTGACTCCTCAGCGATGCGCATCCACGAACCCGCACCCCGCAGGATTAGAACCCAGGACCTACTGGCTTCGCGCGCGAGCACTTAACCATTAGACCACTGAGCCGGCATCCAACGTTGTTAATGTCTAATTTCAACAAATCCACGAAGTTGCGCCACCGTACACCATTGTCTTCAGTGAGTTCCTATCTCATAACAGACCTGGTTGAACTCCACTGGTAACGACTTCTCACTAGAACTCCAGTAGTGTCTCCTGAAGTCAGTCACTAGTGAGCAGGTGATTATTATTACCAGAATGGGTTTCGTGGAGATTTTTGGGAATTTCACAAGTTGAAATCATGAGCCAATTGAAGCTGGACCACCATAGAAAACCGGCTGTCCAGTGCTTCCCGGTTTTTCATGGTGGTCTACCTTCAATTGGCTCATGATTTCAACTTGTGAAATTCCCAAAAATCTCCACAAAACCCATTCTGACATGAACAACTGTTCTATACTAGTGTATGAATCGTCAGTAGTGTACATTTACAGTCCAGCCAGAGATTGAGTTCAGGATATTTAAGTCTTATGATGAGCACACCTAACTACCATAACCTATGGGTTGACACTAATTACCATCGACCTATGAAAAAAACATTAATTTCGGAATAATCTCCATAGAAGTACTGCATCTAAATATGTAATATTATTGGTGTTCCCAATACGTTTGCCCTCAATTTCTAAATATAGAGCCATCATCTAGTGTTACTATCTTAATCATCTAACATCTTATACTTAAGAATATCACGGCCAATGCATATTCAAATCAATTCGTGATACAGCACGACAAGCATTATATATTATAGATGACATTGCTAAACTCCAAACATTACAACTTCTTTTTTATATCTTTTTCGTGTATGTTGAAGTAATTCCCTAGTATGCTCACAATAATATTGTAGTGACCTACTCTTATCAAGAGAACGCGATTGGTGTAATCGAAACAATTATTATTATAACCAATTGTACCGGTGATTGTTTTACTGTGCTCATTTGTTTAACTGTACCAAAACACATATATTCTTCCGTTGATTGTGACCTTGCACGAATTCGGTTACGCTCAGTAACCACACTTGTAACCTGACACAATCTTGGTATTCTTTCGATACTACGAGATCGCCAACAAATACATCTCGACTACAGCCATCAACTGCCTTTTGATATTTGGCCTACGGGGGATCTTATCGATTAACTGGCACGTAGTCTTCCTGTAGTGGTGATCATAGTCAACCACGACTCGACGCCATACTACAATATTTCATTGATATCATAGTTTTATGTATATTTATAAGATTTAAGGTAATATATATATATATAGGTGCGGATTGCTACACTAGAACAGGACAGGTTTGTTCAGTACTTCTTAATTTTCATTAGTATTTGTGATAAATACCAATGACAATTTCGAATAATCTACTAGACAATATTAAAAAGAGAATATGATTGATACCAAAAAAAGGTAACCATTTGAGTTCTAGAAATTATCGATTTTATTTTGAGAAAATACGCAAAAAAGAACCAAACATACAAAAAATTAATGTAGTTTGATTATAATGGTAACATGTTTGTACATGTTTCACTTTTATATGATAGTTGATCGACTGATTTAATGTACCGTTTTTATTTTGTATTAATGAATGAATACAGCCAACATGGTAACAATCATAATCATAATCATAATAAGAGTTCAGTACTATTACGTTAATATCAGATGGATATTATAGTAATTTCAATGGTTAACATCATGACTCATTTGAAACTAGACTACCATGGGAAATGTGGAAGTACTGGAAGGCCGTTTCATCCTATTGTGGGACTCCTCATCAGTACGCATCGACGACCTCGCCCCCTGCGAGATTCGAACCCAGGACCTACTGGTTAGTTGAAGTTAGACATTAACACCGTTGGACGCCGGCTCAGTGGTCTAGTGGTTAAGTGCTCGTGTGCGAAACCAGTAGGTCATGGGTTCGAACGTCGCAGGAGGCGGGGTCGTGGATGAGCACCGATGAGGGGCCCTATTATAGGACGAAACGGCCGTTCGGTGCTTTCAGGTTTTCCATGGTAGTCTGGCTTTAACTGACTCATGATCGTAACCATTGAAATTACTACTACGTTACTGAATAATGTTTTCTGGTTAGAGTTTTTTTAGTGAGTTAGTTTCTACGGGATGGGGTGGCTAACATCATGCCCAACCCTCCTCCTTTATCCAGGCTTGAGACTGGCAGTAGCCCTCTGAGGGGCTATTATTTATGAAAAAGAGATGATATTGCTGTTGATAAACAATAATAAAATATAAACAACTAGAAAAATGTGAATTCTAAATTGATTGTAAAATGGATTCAATTTGGTGGAGATAGATTGTAGTATATGAAGTATCATTATTAGTCATAAAATGTTACAGTCGAAAGTGAATAAAAAAATCAGCTCTCCATCTCGAAATACTTTCCTCATATGACCACATATAATACAGCCACTGTCAGAGAAGTACTACTTACTGCCTTCTGTTAACGAAATTTTGAGAGAAAGAAAAGCGAATGTTCAGTTCTTTAACCACGTTGTTAGATATGAAGGATCCACCTAATGGAGTTGGAAAACCCTGATTCCAAAGCAATCGTGCACATGGGCTCCAGGATCTTGAGGAAACAAATGATGTATGAACTTATGTTGTTGATCACCGGCTACCACCGGGACTGCAACTCCTAACGTTGCTCCACTGCACTATGGATTAAACCTCTAGGCTCAAGATTCATAAAGTGGCTCCCTAATAAAACTACTTGCTTCGGTCTGGGCACCAGGGCAGTATTCCAGCCCATACACAAATCAAATGACAAGGTGTAGCACATGCATATTTGGTGCAATTATATATTTAAACAAAAAATAATAATCAAAAGTCCCACTAAGTAGGGTATTGATAACGAATAGAAAAAATTGGCTAGTTATGAGCTTCACTATAATTGTTCAATGAAACACATGAATTTACAACTGATTTAATCACTGAATAGTAGTGACCAACATCATGTTTATCTAATACTTTAGTGTTCACTTTTCGATCTGACTCAACATCACTTCCCTAATGTTGAAATCTTAGATAATTATAATTCTATAAGAATCATCGATTCTTTCAAGATTACAATTAAGCTTTACTTATAAATATCAAATAGCAATAATAAGTTTAGATCAGCCTAGCAACTATTCACTAACCATTCAATAACTTACTTATTTTCCTATTTATCATATATCTGTAGCCTATTTTGTGTGACTATAAATATTGATTAACGATTGGTTAAATGGTAGTTGGCTTACCCGCCATCTCCACTGCGCGTCGTTTTGCTTTGTTCTGTTCCATTCGTTTTACATACAAAATATTAAGTATTCAAAGGCCTTTCTCGTAAATTGACTTATCTAAATTCCGTTATTCACTAACGTGGTTTAAGTCGATGATTATATATGATCACCTTGGTGTCAGATCTCGGGTCACTAAAGTGGAGAGCCCTTTCGACAACATCATTCGATGATTTAAATAATGACAAAATTTAAAGGGCCCCACATAAACACCACCACGAACAACAACTAAAAACTCTACATAAAACTTACTATATTAATAAGTGGAGAACTGCCACGTTTACACATCCAATTGGATTGACTAGAAGAATGATTTACATGGTCAATACGATTATCGATTTTATGACTATTGAATAATCTTCTATTATTATTATTATTATTATTATTATTATTATTATTATTATTAGTAGTAGTAGTAGTAGTAGTAGTAGTAGGAGGAGGAGGAGGAGGAGGAGGAGGAGGAGTATCATTCGATATACTTGAATGATCATTCATATTTCCATTATCATTATAACCATCTTCATCTATTGAAGAATTTTCATTGAATAGTTCTTCTGAAGTATATTTAGATAAATAAGATTGATCATTATTTTTTCTATCGATGATATCAATGACATTAGATTGTTGAATGGATTGATTTAATAATTGTTGACTACTAATTGGTGGTATATAAGTCAATTGTTTAGACATTAAACTACTATAAATACCACGACGTTGTATTAATTCAGAAATTGATGGATCTGTATATAGATGATCTGTTGTTCGTGTATGTGAATAATCAATGGTACATGGACCACCTTTTATAAAAAGAAAAAGAAAAGAAAAAAAATAAAGGAAATATTTGTGATGGAGTTTTGTTCTCTGAGCTGGATGGTTTGGTCGTGGAGCTTTCATCGTTCTTTTGAACGACATCATCAGCACAAACTTCAGGTAGAAGTCTTCTATTCACATGAGCTACAAATCTTCTCCATCATCTCAGAAATACTTGTAATCAATAGAATCATAACTGATAAATTGTTTCGGATCATTCATCAATTTATTGAACAATTTCTACCCATATGAAAAACGATTAATTAAGGATTGTGAAAGTAGTGGTGAAAGATTCGTGGGTTCATTTCATTACTTGAACGAAGAAATGTTTATGGTATTATACCCAACGTGTATGAGGCCACATTTTGAATACGGGTTTCAAGCAGTAAGTGTTTGTTTCGAATATGAGGCGGATATGCTAGAACAACGGCGAGGAACCACTCACTGCCTTCTCTTGGTGGAAGTGTTGTTTACGAAAATGAGAGGACGAAAAGCGAATGTCCGGAGCCTCAACTGGGCCGGTGGACACTGTGAGTCCATCTAGGCGAGTTATAAAACCCTCATTCCAAACCAATGGTGTTCCCGAAGGAACAAATGGCGTATGAACCAATCGCTGGTCACCGGCTGGCTACCATGGGGATCGCATCTCCTTACAATGCTCCACTGCCTTGTGGATCAGACTTTCAGGTCGAAGGCTCCTGGTGTGGCCCCCTAAGAAAACCACCTGCTTCGGTTTGGGCACCCGGACAGTACCACAGCCCTCACACATATCAAATGAGATTTATGTGGCGCATATGTACTTGGTGCCTCCTTGTACCAATATCTATGTGTTAAAATAAATAAACAAAAACTATATTGTAGAAACAGACTGAGACGCCTTAACCAATTTCCGTGATATTACCGGTTATGGGTGGTCTAATACCAGCTTATTGTATACTGAACGATGATACTGGGATTAATATCTTTTATTAACATCTAAAACATCATCTGAGAAGACATTCTAATGAAGTTCAAGGACGGAGATCAAATCGCTTGCTTCTGGAGTTTATTATATTGATAAGTTTCATGTTATTATTTTTGTTCTTAGTCGTAGCCCAGTTATCTTCCACAATGTTTGTCATTCATATGGAACGGATTCTAGAAGTATTTCTTAGTTACTAGGTCGTTTCTCTCTTGTTTACGTAAAAGATATAAATGATCTTTTTCAGCACCTCGACAGTTACACTGTCAAATTTAGTTTCATGGTTTCGATGATCAAATTGTCTTAAACATATTCTTTGGTTTATGACTGTTCGCTTTCACTTTGGAATGCTTTTGTTACTATTTATCTTTTAGATTTCAATTCTGGCTAAGTGAACTTCCGCTTCCAAGCTTATGAACATATTTGACACTTACCTAACATAAACATAACAGTATATTGTAAGCTCCACATAAATTTACTAAGGAATAGTAGTCATATTTCCTCTGTGCAAAGTCTGTGTTGACGACGTTGACATCGAGTTCAAACAACCTCTTAGAATGAGTCATGAAAGACAGTCTAACTCAGCGATCTCCAATCCCGACCTATCTGGTTTGGCGCTAAATCTATCTCAGGCATCAATACCAACTGGACCAATTTCTCATTGGAGAAAATCCAGTAAACACGAAGATATCTATACCAGGAAGAGAAGAGAAATCTCTCGACTTTGGATCACGTCTTGAAAAAAACATTCATATCTTGGAAGTATGACCGCCTTCAGATTGCTTCGTGGGTTTATTTTGGTAATTAATTCATGTATATTACAGTGTTTCAATATTCAAAGGAACTAAAACTACTACATGGGTCAATATCTCCTGATGTTCACGTAGATTAAATAACTAAACTATACATATTCATGTCCCTCTTATTATAAGCTTTATTTTGACCTGTGAACTATTATTATACGATTTACTATTCTTGAATTATCTCCCGTCTATTAATTACAGTCTCCCATATTCACAACCAGATTTGGCTAAATCTTATATACATGGTGTTTCCTATTTTATTGGTACGATGTAGTCTGTTTGATTGGCATATAAACCAAGTATATTTGAAATACATGATTCATATTGCAGAGGCTGAGATTTAACCGGCAAGGCTAGGTGAGAAACAAGACCAATATGGACTCTAGACTGCTCGTACATGTTTTATACATTATTGGTCCGGTTGATAAATCACTGTTCTCTAATTAACGGTATCATTACACTATACATTACCAGGGCACACGGCCATATGTTATAACAATAACTCTTAGTAACTTTATCCGAAATTGTCTAACATATCAATATATTGTTGCAATATCATTTCATGAGACCATAACATCTTGTTAGGAGTACTACATTGAACAAAATGGATGATCCTATTCATTGGATTTACTAATACAGACTACGAGTGAAATGATATGATATGCTTTCAGGTATTTCAAAGCATCAAAGCGATTGTGAACATAAAGTTGATTGAGAACATTTCAAAATTCTGGATTAAGTAACTTCTATGAACACTAAAGAACTTTTATAACTTCGGGGTCAATAGTCATTATCATTAGCAGAGATCAAATGAACAAATTAGTGATTGAATACAAATGAGTTTTTCAATAAGTTTCAATCACCAGAAGAAGGGCTTATGTGGATATTATAGTAATTTTAATAGTTGAGATCATAAGTCAATTGAAGCTAGACCACTATTGAAAACCTGAAAGCATTGGACGGTCATTTCGATCTAGTATAGGACTTCTCATCAGTGAGCATCCACAATCCAGCATGATCTGATTCGGCGGCCTGCTTGAACATCTGGGCTACCTGTTCCTGCCATCTAGATATTTCAACAAGTTATCTGTTTTTGTTTGTTTTAATAAATCATTATGTCTATTAATCGCATGACCTATTCTGCTGCGTTTCTGGAAAGTGTACAACCTTTCGTTGTCAAAGTTACGAAAAGCTCAATAAGAGACAATGTGGTTGCTGGCAATATACAACGAAAAGAATGTACATCATTCCCATGTTCATTTACTGGACTGTTAACATCTAGCTGGCGACCACTCAGTATTTATCGCGAGGACCGACCAAGAAGAAAGAAACGGAAACTTGTTGAAATACTTTGTGCTGAGAATTCTATATTGTACCAATAATATAATATTGAATAAAGCTAATAATAATAATAATAATAATAATAATAATAATAATAATAATAATAATAATAATAATAATGTGGGACTCTCCCCAAATAACAACGTTGGATGCCGACTTAATGGTCTAGCGGTTAAGTGTTCACGAAACAGATCATGGATCTTGGATCTGGGTCGTGCGTGTGGGATCGTGGATACACACTACTGAGGAGTCCCTTAATAGGACGAAACTGCTGTCCAGTACTTCCAGGTTTTCCATGATAATCTAGCTTCAACTGACTCATGATCTCAACCATTGGAATCAATTATCATTAGTTAATTGTAGAACAATGAATTGAATAACAGAGGAAAATCACATGACATTAGATAGCTGATCATTTCACTTTGATTATGATATTAACATTTGACTATCACAAGCTTCAGAAATCTGTGTTTCTTTGGAAAGGAAAAATTTGTCGTCGAAAAAAATCATGTTTTCCATTAGATACATTCTTAGTTAATCAATATATTGATTTCGTTTAAACATAATTACTTTTTCATTAATCGTAAAATGTGTTCAGGTCCCAAAGACGCTGTTACGGTAAAGGGTGAGGAAATTCAGATCTCCACCTAAAAGTGCTCTCCTTACATGGTCACAAGCATACAGCCACTGTCAGGGAAGTCCTACTCACTGCCTTCTCTCGGTGGGAGTGTTTATGAAACTGAAAGGAAAAACAGCCAGTGTCCGACTCTTGAACCGGGTTGGTGGATATGGAGGATCCATTTAGGGGAGTTTGGAAACCCTCATTCCAAATCAATGGTACACATGTACTCCAGAATTCTGAAGGAACATATAGCGTATGAACGTGTTATTGGTCACCGTCTACCACGGGACTGAATTTCCAAACGTCGCTACACTACTCTATGGATTAGACCTTTAGGTCAAAGGCTCTGATTTTGTTGCTAACCACAATTTTGTGACAAACAAATTCAATGTTAACAGTCAAGTATCCACAATATATCTAGATATATGTCTTAGTGAGATGTTGTCCCTATTAATTGGTTATCCAGTTTAAAAGTGTCAAACTCGTTAACCACTACATTCAGTTAGAAACATATTTCTTTCATTCCATCGATCGATCACGACCGATCATTTGACGTTATTTAAATATAATATTTGATAGACATTGACATTAATACCTTCCGATTTCGTCACGTCTGATTGTATTTATTAAGTCTCTGGAATATTTACTGCAATAATTACATTGGTAAATAGTAACTAACACAAACTGTACACTAACCAAACATCAGTATTTCATTTCTCTAACAAACTAACGAGAATAACTGGTAAAGATTAGAAGATATGATAATAGACATTTCAACCTAATTCATTCTACAACGACTAATATTGATCCTTCTTTTTGGTTCATTTGGTGTTGTTTACTTGAATCTTCCTATTGATGTTTAGGACTGCGAATGATCAATCTCTTATTGGCATATGTGCATACTGAGCAAACGGTATTGGGTTCGAGTCCCAGAGTAAACATCAACATTGAGATGCACGTAAATCTAATTGATGAGTCTCAAATAGGATGAAACGCACGTTCTAGATTCCAGTGTTAACCGCAATCCATCTTTGCTTGGAACAATTCTTTTAGTTTCATTTATCAACATGTAAATTTCCTCTTTCTATATGATTGTGACACAGATTATTCCTCAAAATAAGCCCAAAAAGGCGCTGGAAACAATTGAAAACATTTTATCAAATCATTATTAAATAGAAGAATACGAGAAACACTTAGAAAGTGAAGATTCACGTGTCACATTCTTGATTGGATAATTACCTATCCTGCTACTATGTTTAGAAGGGTTCCATATCGTTCCAGAAGCCCTAGGAAATCTGAAATACTATAAATATCCTCGATCTTATGTACATAAACTAATTTTAGAGTAAAATGTTATTCCCATTTTATGCACCTTTTCTCTTATGTTCAAGCTGTCATGTAGAGTTAACCTGGAGTTTTTGATTGAGATCATGAACCGATTGATGTTAGACCATCACAATTGAAAACCTGGAACCACTGGACGGCCGTTTCACCCTACTGTGGCACTCTTCATCAGTGCGCATCCACAACCCCGCCTCGTGTGATAGTAACTCACTGATGACAATGATGGATGTGTCGCTCAATTTTGTGGATTAGTTGAAGTTAGACATTAACACCATCGGATGCCGGCTCAGTGGTCTAGTTGGTTAAGCGCCTGGCGCTGATAGGTCCTGGGTTCGGATCACGCTGGGGTTGGGATCGTAGATGCGCACTGCTGAGGGGTTCCACATTAGGACGAGACGGCCGTCCAGTGCTTCCAGGTTTCCCATGGTGGTCTAGCTTCAAGTGATTTATGATCTCAACTATTGAGATCTTTAGTTTATATTCATTACAGATGAATATTTGTCAGAGCATATTTTAAACTCATAAAGCACTAGTACACTGTTTTATGGCACCTACTCTTTATGAATACATCTTGATGAGTCATGCAACTAAACTATAATAATATGTTTATTGTTGAATGGTTATACGACAAGTTTGCAAACATTCTAGTGTGAAGTTGTAATGGATGAAGTTCATGGAATCAGTTATCAATTCGGTGAGATTATAATTTATGGATGACCTTTAAAAGATACTAAAGTGACCCTGAGAATGTTCACCTGCTACTAACTACGACTAAATGTGAATTATAAAACACTGTGAGGAATTAGAACTATGATTTACAAGTGATGGTTAGGGTTAGGAATTAGATTTCAGGTTTTGCATCATGAACTGATATCAGCTAAAATACCAAAGCCCTACTTAACCAAATGAAAGCACGAATTTCACACCAAAATCCAAGATTTGTTATCTTCAATCTGATTGGTTCATCCATAAATTATAGTCTCACTGATTTTCTCCATCTCCGGACAATTCTTCCCTGGTTAACTATAGCAGGCCTATACATTGCTGTCTAGTGTTGATTGACTTTCTGATCCTATGTTCAACCCTCCTCCTTTACCCCCAGTAACTCGAAAAGATCTACAGACGGAGTTATAACGGTTGGCAAATCTATGAATCCAGTTAAAAACCTTTAACTACTTATGTAAGATACACTTATCCAGATGTAAACACTTAATAGGTAGATCAGTTGATGTTTTGTTTCTCTCTTAATGTTTATTAATACTTCTAAAATGTTGTTTATTTCTCAATGAGGTGACCTATTCTCTCATATATCTATCCACATAAATACACACATGTATACACAATAGTGTATAGTGTAATAAATGAGTTACACAATTAGAAAACACTCTTAGTTACTATTATTGTATCACATTTATATTGAGAAATCTCTATAGAAATAAATAAACTGTAATTTTCAGAAAAGAGGGAGGGGATTATGGAGATTATAGTAGTTTAATAGTTAAATTCATAGGTTGATGATGCAATATCATGGATTGGTTGAAGTTAGACATGAACATTGTTGGTTGCCTACTCAATGGTCTAAAGGTTAAGTGTTCATGCACGAGACCAAAGGTCCTGGGTTCGAATCCAGCGAACAGGATTATGAGTGCGCACTACTGAAGAATTTCATACAAGGATGAAACGGTCGTCAAGTACTTCCATGTTTTCCATCATGATCTAGCTTAAATCAATTAATGAATTCAACTACTAAACTATAATTTGATGATGAGTATCACAAGTTATTCTGCAACGAATTGTCACCAACTTATTCTGTTTTCTTTTCTTTTTCCTTAGTTTAAGGGAGTGTGAATGGTTTTCACGTTTTTTTTGTCACAGTTAGAGAACCGTTGAATATTATGAAGCATTGGAATGTTGTCTTATCCTAGTGTATGATCAATCGGCAGTGGATGGTCACAACCAAACTTAAAACGAAACTAAAACCTTCAGAAATCGTGATGAATGTTTAACTTTCAAATCATTGAGTCAACGTTAAATTGTTCACAATTCTAATTTTAATGAATTTGTCATATTTCCCAGCCGTTCTCAATTCCTACCGCTGATATTTGTCTCCCATTTAATCCCAAGTAGGGTGGTGGATGAGTACTATTGAGGAAATTCATGCGTCATAAAAATTCATTCTTGAATGACAATGAAAATTAACTTAAGTCACTATGTGCCATACTTGGAGAAACATTTTCTCTTGCAATATCGAGATAATCCATACAGGATGCAAATATGCCAACAAAAGATTGATCAATTGCAGTCCTGAACATACATGGGAAGATTCAAACAATCAGTAGAAAAACAAATGAAACTTCATCCGATTGTACAAGCTATTGACTATGAGGAATCAGTAACTGAATGGATAACACAATGGCGTTTGAAGTGAACAGTACTGAGTTCGACTCTCGAAGTGAACATCAACTCCGAAATACAAGCATATCCAACTGATGAGTCCCAAATAGGACGAAACGCAGGTCCTGCATTCTACTACTAGCCGTCATTCATCTTTGCTTAGAATGCTTATAACTTAAGGTAATATTGAGGAAATCAACACAGTATGCTCATATACATGAAAAACATTGAAGTTTTGTTCTGTTTACTTAATGTTTCATTTATATAAGATAAGAGACAAATTAATAGAATAAACTCAATGTCAAATCACCTAGACTAGTGGCCATTTAATCGATAAGATTCGATTTGTACTAAGAATGACCTGACATACATGATATTGATCACCACCCAGTGATTGATCAATTGTGAGAATATCCCAGTTCTATAGGAGATCAGTCATGGACTGGATAGACTAATCGTAACGTCTCTGACATGGGCTTGAATCCGTCAGTTCTCTCAAGACTACAGGTATACCTTGCTGACGATTGTCCAAATAGCACGAAATCTAAATCCAGGATTTCCTTTTGTCTACCTCCAACCACCATCTCAGAATAAACGAGAATGAGTGAAGTGTTTTTTTATATATAAATTAAGCAATTTGATGTACCGCTCTCATCTATACTTACGTACATCCCATCAAAGTATGATTTCAATGGTATATATATTTATGAGCCTGAAAGTCCTTAAGGGGAGGTTGTGAGTGCGCAGTGATTTTTTTAAACCCTATATATACCATATTGAAAGATATATTGAATGACTCGATTTCATAGTTAAAACCGTCAAGAGATGACACCGTTTTCTTTCTGATTACAGTACAGGAGTGGAGTAGTTTTTAAACCATTAAGTTCCCCATACTTTTTAACCTAGAATCTGTCAGCCATTGACTTAAGCGTTTAAATACATTGTCTTTCTCCATTCGGTACACGGAAGAATCAAACTTTGAATTCGAAGCCTCTGCTTGAATGAGTTTCGGCAGGCACAAACTCAATCAGAATTAATCTTTAAAGTACTAAACGTTTTAGGTTTTAGTTCACAGTATCAATGTTCTCTTCACAAAGTTCTTTTCAAGTAATCGTTCGCTTCAAACATCATCGTGTTATCCACTTAGCTACTAAGTCCAGATAGCCAATAGTTTGTGCAATCTGGTGAAATTCCATTTATTTTTGTATTAGTTGTTTGAATCTTCCCATTGATATTTAGTAGTGCAACTGATCAGTCTGTTATTGGCATATTTGCATCATGTGTAGATGATTACCTCGATAGTCAGTAAATCACAAGCGTTTTAAGCAGAGAGAGATGATGGTTAGTAGTAAAATCTAGGATGCGCTTTTTGTCCTATTTGCAACTTTTCAACTTGATGTACCTGCATCCCAAAGTTGATGTTCACTCCAAGAATTGAACTCAGTACTGTTCACTTCAAACGTTATGTCGTTATTCATTCAAATATCAAAATTATAAACTGATCCCTACTTCAAATCCCCTGCTATAAAGATAATGTCAATCAATAATCAATAACTTTTGGTCACTTTTTTTCTTCAATCCAACTCATGAACTGATGACCCTTTCATTGTGTCATCCAGAGCTTATTAACTTAGACATAGCAATCTAAATTGATAATTAAGAAGTATAGACTGATCGCATATTCCATAGTTGGATTAAAACATTGAATAATATAAAATGACTTACGCAATAGATCACTAATCAATTGCCCATAACATGGATCCGCAATAACAGAATATGGTTCGTAATATTGTCTAAAATCAATAAATATCAAATATGATATTATGATACTATTGATATAATTATCTTTCTTAAAAGAGTTAACATTATGTAATATGGTTGAATGTATACGATAGTGAACTTTGATTGACTGAGACTTCGTGTAGGTTGACACTAGTGCTCAACAAGATGTGTGTGTGTGTGTGTGTAATCTTGAGGGAACTGATGTACGCAGTGAGATGAGAAACCTTGTTATTCAGCTTCACATTGTGAGATGTTATCACGGAGTACCTCAAGTAGTGATTGATCTCTTAATAGGACTAAGATTTTAACTGGGTAGTGATTAATGTCATGTTTGTCTAGTCGTTTAATGCTGATCGAATTATATCAATTCTGTTTGTAGGACTTGGTATTAAAGTCAAGCATAATGAATCTGAATTATTTCAGTTCAGGAGATTTTGTGTTTGGGTGAGATAATTACAAGAATCGGTTGCTTCATAGTAACCAACAACATCAATAATAAGCAACGTGTAGCTAAGTGAAGGTCTAACGTCAGTTTATGAAACAATTAACAGATGAATTCAGTCGTGTTAGATGATATAAACTTCTCAATTGAGGTAAGCTAGATATGTTCAGCTAACCAGATACTGACAATCATGAAGTACTATATAGCCATTTAAAATGAATGTACCAGTCTGCAATGTAAACTATTAATTCAACAATCTGTACACGAACCATTACCACTTAGTACGATTAACTTACAAACTCCTGGAGTTCTAGATAAACACTTTGTTCAGGATGTCTAAACTCGTAAGATTTCACAAATTTACCGAAGTTAGAAATATGGATCTTTCAGTACCAAGATAACAAATCTATCACCAAGTTCAGATTTCTTAAGTTCAATTCACATTCAGATCATCAGTTTATACTGCTGAAGACTTTCATGTGAGGTGCTAAGCTAAACAGATAGCCTATCCTAGATATGGTCTATGTGTAACATATGCCTTTGAAAAAAAGCTTTCCAAAACTGAATTTTCATTTGTACAATATGAAAATTGGCATCAAACTAATGAATTATCGATCATCTTCTATTTCTAACATGAATCTATGTAAATGTATTAAGAGTGTAACGTGACCATTTGAAGTGTGTGTGTGTGTGTGTGAGAGAGAGAGAGCAAGTACTAGACATATACAATTTATTTTCTTTTAAATAATTTACGGTAAAAGACAAGTAGGTGATTACAACAACAACGGCAACAAACAAATGAGTCTAAAGAAAGTCTTCATGACACGACAGTTAATCCACTGGCTTTATTCAAGATTACATTCAGCATTATTGTAAAATATCAATTACCCTTAGATGGTTTTATGTTAAGACCGAGATCAAATATGTGTAATCACAAGGAAACTAGACAGAGCTAAACAATCATGTCATCCTGTTTATAACCCATTAACTTGATAACAGGTTGATGTAAACCACTTATGATTCAAGGCGACCTACTTGAATATCTGGCCAAACTGTTCCTGTCATCTGGATATTTCAACAACTTATCTGTTTTTTCGTTTGTTTTAACACATCATTAACTCTGCCTAGAGTCCCTCCGGGGGCTACTGCCGGTCCCAAGCCCGGATAAAGGAGGAGGGTTGGGCATGAGGTTAGCGATACCATCCCGTAGAAAACTAACTGGCTAAAAAAACGCCAAACGCCTTAACACATCATTATGTCTATTGGTCTTGTAATCTATTCAGGTGCGTTTGTGAAAAGTTTACAACATTTCACTGTGTACAAGTTACATAAGAGCTCAATCAGTAACATCGTGATTACTGGCAGCATTATGCGTTGAAAATAATATACATTATTCACATATCGGTTGTTGATCTGCTAACATCTAACTGAAGACCACTCAATATTTATCTCAATGGTCGATCAAGAAATAAGGAAACTTGTTGAAATACTTTGTGCTGAGAATTCTATCTTGCGCCGAAAATATAATATTCAATAAAGCCATTAATAATAATACTAAGCTTCTTTGTTCTGATGTCTTGGTGTTATGATACAGTTCCAGGCCTTTGGTAACATCCATTGATGTTAATCTAACCACTTGACTGAAGTAGTTCTGATGAATTTAACAGGTACTTGAAGTTTGATTAATACTAAAATCAAGTGATTAAGTTTACCGCATAGTTAGTCAGTCTTTATTAATATACACAAACCTCATTATATTGAACAAAGTCTTGTGACCGTAGATCAATAAGTTAGCTATTTGATGCGTCCTAGCCCCACTAACTAGAGGAAGAAGTCCAAGCTTCGAACGGGAAAGTTTATTCCGTAAGCCAGCAGCACGAGTGAATCATAACAGATACCAATCAAACGTACATATACAGCATAAAACAGTCCTTGAGAAGTATAGCAAAAATAGCATACTAAAAATACACAACGAACCAATAGCGTTAAAGATTCTCCCAAGTGGGAAATATGACATGAAGGTGAAAAGTTCGCCTTTGGCGCAAAAACAAGGAAATTTAAATTTCCAAAATAAAATTATAAAATTAAGGCATTTACCAAGTGAGTTCTGGGGATCTAACATCTTCAACATAAGAACTGTTTGCTTTGTTTAAAAATAGTATAGACCTTCATGATCTTATATATTAGCCAACGTTTTCTCTGGATTATATTCTACATGTCAACTGGATAACTATTATTAACCACTGAGTGCTGGACGATTGTTTCATCGCATCATGACATTCTTCAGAATTGTACATACAACTTCACTGAGAACTGAGTTTTAGAATCTTCATAACATTCATAAACTATGGTAACTCTAGACCACTCAATTGAAATTCAATAGAATTTCAATGTGAAGTATATTCAAAGTCAGTAGAAATGACTATCTCGTTTCCAACATGGCTGAACTTCAACAATCACAGCTTTTCAATAAAACCTTGGGAACTCGTGTTTGAATTGATCAATTATGGCTTAATATCATCAACTTTAAAGAGTAATTTTTATGTGAGAATCTAATATACTACTTGGATAGCTAAATTTAAGTAGGAGGAAGTTGATTACCGCTTGCAACACGCCGATTGAAAGTTAAACAACTCAATTATGAAACTACTTTTACACTTTGTATACTAACAGGATTGAATTCATGAGTCAATTGAAGCTAGACTACAATAGAGAACCTGAAAGCCCTGAACGGCCGTTTTGTCATATTGTGGGACTCTTCAGCAGTGCCCATCCACGATCCCGCTCCATGAGATTCGAAGCGTTCGCTCACATGAGTGATAGGTCCTGGGTTCAAACATCGCGGGGCAGGATCGTAGATGTACATACAACGGAAGTGAGATATTTCTGTGGTGATATTCTTCAATTTATTGTTCTTACTATTAATATAGCACTGGAATCATTCAAGATTAAAAGTATAATGTTGAATACATCTGTAAAAACTCTATTCAAATAAAGATGACGTCCATTGAAAACATTCTGGATTATGTAATAATCGTCTTGTCATACTATTGGTCTTCTAATTAATCTGATTTAAGATCTAAATACTGAATGTATAGCAACTCATATAGAATCAATAATGTAAAGAGTAAGTGTTAACAGCGAGATTGTTAGATCCTGTGTTTAATGTAAGACGTGATTATGAATGTGTACTATTCATTCATCCATTTGGCTAAATAGAGTCTTGGCATTATAGTTCATGTCATTTCATGATGAAACCTCATAAACCTAATTCCTAACCTTAACTATCAACTGTAAATCAGAATCCTTATACTTGACATTGGTTTATAACCTTCATTTAGACCTAGTAATTAGATGGACATTCTCAAGGTCACTTAAAGGTCATCCATAGATTATAATCTCGCCGGATTCCCCATCAGGTAACTGGGTATAGAAAATTAAAAAAAAACAATTTCATCATAACAACTCGTTCATGTACATACACAGGTAGGACTGACGTGAACCCTACCTCCCCTTAATTAAAAACAAACTATATCATAAGTAATAATATCAACTTACAATGTATTATCAGCTAAAAATTTGACAATTTTATCTAATACTTTTTCATAAATAGCAACACGAATCCAAAAATTTTGAAAGAAAGTATCAGGACGACTAAAAATGGAAACAAAAGAATAGATTTTGATTCATTGTAATCTGCATAATGAACAAATAAAGAACAGGGATTACTGGAGAAGTAGCAGTAGTAGTAGTAGTAGTGGTGGTGGTGGTATTAGTAGTGGTAGTAGTGGTGGTGGTGGTGGTAGTAGTAGTAGTAGTAGTAGTAGTGGTAGTGGTGGTGGTGGTGGTAGCAGAATGAATTATGTTTCGAATTTGTAGAAAGATGATCAACACTTCGAATTCTTGGAATTGATTACACATCCCAGATATAAAAAAACTTGAGCTCAATCCTTTGTGGAAGTGGAGACTCAAACTCAATCGAATCTTCACCTGAAAAATGCTTAATAAACTATCCTTTACATTCAGTTAAGTAATTCAATATGCAGAAACTCATTGTCATTAGTGAAACAAACTCATTCTAAATCATCTCTCTAAATGAATTAATTTATCTGTAAATTCTCGCAGTTCTAGTGAGAAACCGTGATCAGTGGAGCTAATCTGTGACGGGTAGATACAGGTATCTACATCAGTATAATTGAAGATGGTCGCGCAATTTCGTGGATTGGTTAAGATTAGACGTTATCATGGTAGAATACCATGTCAGTGATCTAAAGGTTAAGCGTTTGCGCGCAAGACTGAACGCACTGAGTTCGAATCAGGCGAGCAGATTGGTGGATATGCATTGCTTAGGAGTGCCACAATAGGACGAGACGGCCATTCAGCAATTCCAGGTTTTCAATAGTGATCTAATATCAATCGATTCATCATTTCAATATAAATAATTTGTGATGGCACAGGAAATGATCTTAAATACACCGTTCATAAATCCACAGGATACCCAACTAAGAATAAGATAAAAGTTCCAAATCGATGCATTACACTAAAGTAAATGTACAACCTAAACAATTTTACAACTAGTAAAATTAGAACAATCTTATATCTCATGTTTGTTTTCGATATTTAACGTTACTATTTATATCAAGTTAACGATGATTGTAAACTGGTGGGAATTCTGTAATTCTTATTCTTATCGGAATATATATATATATATATAGCAGTACTAGTCGGTGACTATTTATATGTGCCATATTAGTAGATGCAGACTACTTGGTTAATATCTGTGCAATAATCACAAGCAGTAGTTTGATATGCCAACGTCTCAAAATCGACCATAATACCACAATAACTGTCTTCCATCCATCCCGTTCTCTCCATTCGTATTATCTATACCAAATCTTTTTTATTAACATCAACACTGTTATCATTCCTATTAATCTGACACATATCATGGTAATTTCATTCGATTGTACTGATGTGGTGTACAGTGGAGTGATGTACATTCGTGCTGCGCACAATGTGGAATACAACAGACCGACTTACTCAGATTCGAGAAATCTTTTAATAGAATGTGATGGCTGATAATACTACATGGGTGTTTAAACTATAGTAGATGAGACAGGACTCGAACATACAATCTACTGAATAGGGATCGAATGATTTTCGTTACTAAACCACTACTTTCAATGTCATATTATTGTTTTGCATGCTCTCACTCAAAATTCTCCATTCTATATCCATCGTCATTCAATTTACACTCATTCATCTTTGTTACGTTGTAGTAAAGAGGATGTCAAGTGGGAAAGTTCAATCTATAATTTAGTGCGAAATTACAGTATCTTCTTAAAGCATGAAAACTATACATCAAATACTTCATTCGCACATCCCTAATCAGTTGTCTCTCACAAATATCATCGTTCCCTCATTCCTCTTGTTAATACAATTACTCTCTGTTCACATTCCTATTCACTTCAATTCGATCTTCTCAATCTTGTGTTGCTATGCAATCCACTCCCAATTCGTCTTACATACTACTTATGTTTTTCAACACAAGTAACATCCAACACAACATTATTCAACGTTACACTATCTATCACTATCACTGTATATCATATGCATCCACGTACACGTACACTCACACTCACACACGCTTACGCACACGCACACCAACAAAAGAATCACAAATGATTACTAGTGAGTCATGATTTCTCTCATTTCTAATTAATTATCTCCGTTTTATAGGAGTGTATAACTTCAAAACTGATGTCTGTCAGAAGAGATTTACATCCATTGTTTCATACTATTTTAATGAATACTTTCATTGTAGAAAGTGTACTACATTGTCGAAGGAATTGAGTATTATGCATGAATTTCCCTACTCGATGAGATATTGTAACTCAATGATTTTGATTAATTACTTGGTTTGAGTTTCATGTGTGGAATTGTGAATACGAACTGCTGAGGAATGTCATACTAGGACGAAACGGCTGTGTAGTGATTCTACGTTTTCAATAGTGGTCTAGCTTAGATGAAGTCACGAATTCAACTATGAAAACTTCGTTATAATAGCTAATGAAATATGACTTTAAAATTATTTAACAAGACATAAACGTATCATTGATTATGACTATTCATTAGTCTATGTCCTTGACCAGTATATAATAACGATATAGTTATTTGTGCATCTAATCCTGTCAATCAGTAACTGAGCTTGGCAACAATGTATGATGAAAGTTGTAAGGCAGCTGATGGTAGTAACAAATAGAATGTCGCTATGCAATAAGGACAAATTCAGTTTCTTTTTTTCGTTTTTTTCTTGATGTAACTTTATAGTGACAACAGAAACATTCACTACAGCTTGAAAGATCTGAGATCCATACAATCGATATTTCATTTGTAACATGTCAATCAATTGTTTCAGACGTTGTTGTTCCTTCATTTCTACACTAATCACTCTCTGTTTTGTTCGATCATCTTAATCTACTGCTGTCAGGTATTTCACTTTCATTTGGTGATACATACTACTTATATCTATTGGGCATCAGTAGTACACATCACATTATTACTGACAAGTTTAAATTGAGGTCAACTGTACGAATTGAAAATCGGCTGCTCTTAATGTTTCTATAGTTTAATGGAAATCTCCTTAATTTACCAATTTGTCAATCATATAGGACGAAACGTTCATCTTGGATTGCACTGCTAACCACCATCCATCTGTGCTTATATAAATCACAATGTTAATAAACATGGCAATTAAAGTGTAAATGTACTATGAATACAGTAAATAGTGCTGACAGTTAATGAACCATAAAAATATATTACTAATCTGTGATCTGTAATCAGATTACTATGTAATATGTGAAGGTACGGATCCTACTCTACGGAGCTGAAATGTAGAGAACTACTACAACCATCATCAAAAACGTACAACTATTCATAAACAATTGTCTACACAAGATACTCAATGTCTACTGATCGACAGTCTACTGCTGGGAAGAACAAACCAGCTTTCAACTGAAGAGGAAATTAGGAAAAAGGCGTTGGAAGTGGATAAGACATACGTTAAGGAAATCACCAAACTGCATCACGAGGCAAGCCCTAACGTGGAATTTTGAAGGGAAACGGAAAAAGAGGAGGGCCAAAAAATCAGAAGCAGATATCAAAAGGATAGACAACAACTAGAAAGGATTGTCTAAAACACAATTATAAATACAGTGATCTTGAGTACTGTCAGAATTATGAAGGCGGTCTTCCTTTAAACTTCGAACTAATTCTTTCTTCCTTTACTACGTCCTTATATACAATCCTTCTTTTATATATTACCACTACTGAATTACTACTTCTATGAATCTGGTGTTCATCTTGTTGTGATAATGATGTATGGCAACTTGAATCAATGCACACATGTGCCTCATTCTACGTTGTAGCTGACTGACTGACCAGAACAGAATTGGTTGGAGAATCCTAATATGTATCCCATACTCCTCCAAGAGGGTTAACAGGAATAATTTATCAAATATATGTAAGTTATATAAACCAGCTACAGATAGATTATCTACTAGTGCTTGATCCGAATTCACTTCAATGTAAGTTAAGTTCATTTCATCAATAGAATTACTGTTTATTAGAATAATAAGTATATCTCACTACTGAATAATTGTCAACTTCTTATAAGGCAATTCACCATGAATGATAATTGATGCCTAATATTCTCTTTTTTTTTCTTTTTTCACCATGAAGTACTATAGTAACTAATTTAAGGTCAACAAAGAAAAAAAGATATTTTAATCAATATTTACTTCATTGAACTAAGTATGAACGGGGTTCGATATCCGTAGTCAAGAGTATCATGTTTATTTCATGTTATATTGAATTGATAGTATCACATATATATGAAGACGGTAAATATACCTTAACAATGAATGTAAATAAGCTTCAATACAAATATACAATAGATAGTAATGTATTGTTTAATTTTCAACATAGCGCATGTAATGTCGAGTCATCTAGACTAGTGACTACGTTGCAATTTGGTCGATAGGATTCAATTTGCACTAAGAAGAACATGACATACATGAAAATGAACACCACTCAATGATTAATCAATTGCAAATACATCTCAATCCTACAAGATGTCAGCTGTAGCGATCATAGCTCAGTGTTAACGTATCTGATTGTGAAGCTGGAGGATATGAGATCGAATTCGTCAGGGAGTATCAGTTCTCTCAAGATTGCAGGTACACCTTGCTGGCAAGTGCCAAGTCGCATGAAATCTTGGTTCGGCGTTTTCTGTTGACTATCTCCAACTACCATCTTATCTCAGCATAGTGCATGCAATGTTGAGTCATCTAGACTATCGGCCACATTACAACTTGGTCAATAGGATTCGATCTGACATACATGACATGGATTACCATCCAATGATCAGTCAATTGTAAATTTTCATGCATAAATTATTCATCTCTTAGTCAATATCACACACATTTATATGTAACATGTATCAATTTCATACTACAGGAAAATAGAAACTGTTTTACTTGGATCTTTCGGTCAAGGAAATATGTACTGAAAATCATGTACAAGTGATTCTAAGTAATAAGTATCATTATAGACTATAATAATCGAAATGATCTAGGTGTAACGTAGTCAACTGA